TAGGTGAACAGCAAGTGTCCCTCCAGGGAAAGAAAACTTACTAAATTATCTCAATCCAAGACTTGGGGAACCGAGAGTGTGCATTGTGGTACTGTTGAGAGTTTAACCAGGTAAAACCCCACAATTTGCTAAACATAGGGAATTTCCACATGTAGATGGGATGCATGTTTGGTTTGGATACTTTTCTGTATTTCTGCATTCACTGCGCATGTGCATGGAGCTTCTCATGTATAAGCTAAAAAATAGCCAATGTCTGGATCATTAAGGCAGTTGTCACCTTTTGCACACTGCACACGCCATTTCCTTCACCAAATGATTGCAGCAGTGCTTCTTGCACACAGCGTGCAACGCATAGTAAACTTTGGTGGCAAGTTATTTTAGACTAGCTTATAACGTAGCATCTGAAATATTGAACCCAGAATACCATATTATAATTTCACTGCTCCTTCCTTCCTTCCTTCCTTTATCTATTTATCTAACAGAGCGATCTGAAATCTACTTATGCACAATATAACAAAACCACAGATGTCCTTTGCATCACAGACCAACTAAATGTGGGAAATATCCATTTCGAAAAAAATGGTGAACAACTACTTGTTTTGGTGGATTGTAGCACAGGTTACATGCAACAGTCTCAATGTCGGAGCAAGTAACAGACTATCCATATAGTTTCAAGTACATCGACCTTGAGATGTTCCGCAGCAATGTATTCCCCGGTCACTGACAGACTAATCGCAGCCATCACTTCTAATGCAGATGTGAGCTATGCAAATTGCCGACAGTAATTAAAAGAGAAAAACACAAAAAGCCACACCAATTTGTTAAACAAAGTTCTCAGAATTAACATAAAAACTCAAGACAGATGAAAGGTTTATTTTCAAAATTGTGGATTTTTAAATGCAACTACAAAAGCAACATATCTAAAATATGAAAGACTCAGGTCTGATACATTTCACACAAGATTATTTTATTAAATGTTAGGATTATTATTATTACTGTTATTAACCTGGGGGAAGGGAAAGCAATTCCTTCAATGCTAGGCCTCATTTTTGGTTTCTTACAATGTAGAGGCAAGATGTCAGGCTAAGTTGCTGTACATTTCTGTCTCTCCTGTCTGAAGCTCCTTTCTAATAATTCACAGGTGAGGAACAAATTCAGTGACAAGCTTGCACCTGAAGGTGAAGCTTTATTAAAATTCAAGCCGATTATGACTGCGCAGTAACATGTTTGGACATAATCCTTTCACTTCTGGAAACATGGTTCAACCATTGACCAGATAAACCTCTGAAACAAAAGAGCAAATTCTCAACGTAAAGGACACCAGTGCGCACCACAGAACAAGTTTCACCCACAAAATACCCAGTCAATTCACTTTACAGTATATCCTGTGAAGTGTTGAGACATCTCAATGACATGATAAGGCGCTATATCAAACGCAAGGCTTATTATTATGTCTCACAAGTAGTAAGTCTGAATGTCAAAACAGAAATCAAACATTGTGCTTTACTTTTTAAATATCAGTGTGCATCTGATTTCTATTAGTCTTTGGAAGTGGCGTAAATAATTTGCTGGTCACTTACAACAAGATTAAATTTGTATAGCGCCGTTCTCGTCAGGGGGACGTCCCAAGACGCTAACTTACAACGGACTGATAAACGGTTTTGATGGCTGCTGGGGGTAAGATGGCTGTGCCTCCTCATCCTCTCTGATGCCTTCGACACTGGAGACTACTCCATCCTCTTGATTGCCTCTCTCCTTTAATCCACCTCCATGAGTACACACTTTCCTGGTTCTAATCTTCCTGTCCCAAAGGCTCCACTTAATTTTCTCCAATGGATCATAATAATTTTTGCATTTGATATAGCACTTTTGGGACACCTTAAAGCACTTCACAGAATATACTGTAAATGATTGTATATTTTGTGGGCCAATTGCACACAGCAGGTTCCCACAAACAGATGAGGATTGAGTGACCAAATTATTATTGTTTTTTTGTTCTTGAGGGAATATTATCAGGCATGTGGAGTAAGGAAACTTATCCAAGGTTTCCCCCTGCCGGGCATCAAACCCAGGTCTTTCGCTTGCAAAGCGAGCGCTCTAACTACTAAGTTACAGGACTCTCCTGTATGGTCACCTGCAGTGTACCTCCTCAATCCTTGATTTCTTCTTTTTTAACCTCATCTACAAGCTCCTCCTTAAGACATCATCCACAGACTTGTGGAAAGTTTGCACATACATGCTGATAGATCAAAATCTACCTCTCTACTTTCACTTATGTTCCTTATTGACTTCAAGTCACTACCCTGGGTGAAGGGTGCTTTTTAAATGCAAGTTGTTATTGAAGATCCTCACTTTTACCTACAAATTCCTAAACGTGCACCCCCCTCTGCATCTCCATGACATTCTCCAGCACACTCTCCTGTTTGCAAACTCAGGCTTGCTGTGCAATCCTTGCCCTCTCTGCCTCATCACTGGCAAAATTTTAGCCACAATGCCCCTATCCTCTGGAACTCATACTCCTAAATCCCTCCAACTCCCCTATCTATCCATCATTAAAAGCCTCCCGAAAACCTTTTCAACCTTGTCCTCACCCACCTCCAACCATACCTCACAACCAATGCGGATGAAACCCTAATACACACTCCTACCTCAATTCCTCCACTTTGCCCCTTTCTTCACCATCTTCAGATTGCACCAGAAAACTTTCCTCTTCAACCATGCCCACGGTGACCACCCGTCTCTCCTCAGGTCTGCTCATGTTATCCTACGTGAAGGGCACTATATAAATGCACGTTGCTGCTATTTCTCAATGTCCAGCGCTGTCTCTGTAAAGTGCTTTGAGACAACACCCTACACGAAAAGGTGCTAAATAAATGCAAATTACTGTTATATGGTTTGCCAGTTTTCTTTTAGACTAGCGATGAGTTTGCACCACATTCTAAAATGCTACATGAATAGAGCAAAGCTAGACCCAGGTGAAATTTCTCCCCACCATACTCCGCTAATATTACTATATGACCATCCACTGGGAGGGGTACAAGAGCGACCTGGATGGCTGAGCCAGGGGGCTCTGCTCCACACCTCTGATAACAAAGTTGTCTTTGAAAATCTGCTCTGGAAGGAAACAAATTAGCAATTCTAATTGTGCTCCTCTGGAATTCCTATAACAGCTTCAGTTGTACCAATGGTGCCTCAAATGATGGTATGTATTTCAGAGCAACCTCCATAAGTCAAGAATTTGAAAATAATTGAAAATGATGGATCTTAAAGTTCAGTTCATTAACACAGGAAAAGCACTGTCAGATGCTATCAGTTAATGGTCAGTATGGCACACAAGGTGCTCTGGGCATTTAATCATTATTTCCATATAAATTCTCTCAGACAAGATAGCTACTGGCTAGTGATATAATACTCATCATTGGATTTGATATAGCACCTTTCATGTCAGGAGAACATCTCAAAAGTGCTTCCCAAGAAATACTGTAAAGTACGGTGACTAAATATATTATAGGCAAATGTGGCAGCCGATTTGCACACAGCATTGTCAGACAAACAATCATGGAATGAGTGACCAATTTAATTGGGGATTGTTGTACAGGACACTGGAAGAAACTTACTTTTCTTTTTGAATGGTACCATGGGATCGTTAATATCCATCTGAACACATAGATGGGACCTTGCTTTAACATTTCAATCACAGGACATCACCTCCAACAATACATTACACCCCTAGCACTGCATTGCAGGGTCAGCCTAGACTCAACAAGCTCCATGTCCCAATGCGGGAATTTAATCCAAAACTTCCTGACTCATAGACGAGAGTGCTACCAACCAAGCCAGATTGACAACACCACCTTGCGTTTAAATAATAATCCTTGCATTGATATAACGTCTTCAAGACGTCTCAAAGCGCTTCACAGAATATACTGTAAAGTGAATTGACTATAATAATAATAATCCTTGCATTTGATATAGCGCTTTTCACGTCGGGAGGACGTCCCAAAGCGCTTCACAGAACACACTGTAAAGTGAATTGACTGTATATTTGTGGGCGAACGCGGCAGCCAATTGCGCACAGCAGTAACCCACAAACAACCAGATTCCTATCTACTGCTAAGTGAATAGTTTCTTCCAGTGTCCTGTACAACAATCCCCAATTAAATTGATCACTTATTCCATGATTGTGTGTCTGACAATGCTATGTGCAAATTGGCTGCCCTATTTGCCTAAACTTGCCCAATGTTTCACCCTGCCGGGAATCAAACCCAGGTTTCTCGCTTGCGAGGCGAGTGCTCTAATCACTGAGCTACAGGACTCCTATATCTCTTATACAGACCTGGTGGCCGCGCCGGCTGATCATGGCCCTGTGGCATCCTGCGTCACAGAGCACGCCTGTAGCCAAGCGGCAGCGGGAACAAAATAAAGAACGCATACGGAGCTAGGCTGTGGCAACAACAACAAAATTACATTTTTAAAATGTCTTTCACGTTGGGAGGACATCCCAGTGATTATAAATTATACATTATAAAGATGCCTAAGCGAAAATCAAACCGTTCAAGGATAAGTAAGTATGTCTGTGTGTCAATCTACCTTCCATATCGGATCCTTTGGTTGCAAGCAAAGCCTGACAAGAACTCGTGTAATGGGGGTACGGAGTCTAGTGCGGGTGACAAGAAATGTACACATTAGAATAAAGGAGTAATGCAAAATGGAATATTGCATAATTGCCTGAATGGATAGTGGAAGCCGACTCGATAACAACTTTTAAGATAACAACTTTTTTTAAGAAAGGAGTAGATAATTATTTGGGGAGGACAAGTTTGCAGGGCTATGGAGAAAGAGTGGGGGAGTGGGATTCAGTTGAATAGCTATTTTCAAAGAGCCGGTAAGGACACAAAGGACCGAACGGCCTCCTCTGTGCTGTATAATTCTATGAAAAGGTTATGCGTCAAACCACGTAAAGAGGAAGACTAGGAAGTTGTATAAAATATTGTACTCACCAAAAGGTAGGTACTTGAATCCTGTTTTCTTCTATGCACTGAAATATCTGAAAGGAGGGAAAGAAACAATTTACAGGGGATAGGTTGGAGGTTGGGGTCGGGAGGGGTGGTTTGGAGGTTGGGTAAGGGGGAGGGGGGTTTGGAGGTTGGAGTCCGGGTTTTGGAGGTCGGTGGGGGGGGGGGGTTGGAGGTTGAGATCTGGGGGGGATGGAGCTTGGGGTCGGGGGGTTTGGAGGTTGGAGGTCGGGGGGGGTTGGAGGTTGGGGTCGGGGGGTTTGGAGGTTGGGGTCGGGGGGTTTCGAGGTTGGAGGTCGGGGGGGGTTGGAGGTCGGGGTCGGGGGGGGGTTGGGGGTTGGAGGTCGGGGGGGGTTGGAGGTTGGGGTCGGGGGGGGGTTGGGGGTTGGGGTCGGGGGGGGTTGGAGGTTGGGGTCGGGGGGGGCTGGAGGTTGGTGGGGGGTTTGGAGGTTGGAGGTCGGGGGGGGTTTGAGGTCGGGGGGGTTTGGAGTTTGGAGGTCGGGGGGGATTGGAGATTGGAGGTTTGGGTCGAGGGGGGGTCGGAGGTTGGGGTCGGAGGATATGGAGGGTGGGGTCGGGGGTTGGAGGTTGGGGGGGGGTTGGAGGTTGGAGGGGGGGTTGGAGCTTGGGGTCGGAAGGGGGTTGGAAGTTGGAGGTTGGAGTCGGGGGGGGTTGGAGGTTGGGGTCGGGGGGGGTTGGAGGTTGGGGTCGGGGGGGGGGGTTGGAGGTTGGAGTCGGGTGGGGGTTGGAGGGTGGGGTCGGGGGTTGGAGTTTGGAGGTCGGGGGGGTTGGAGGTTGGAGGTCGGGGGGGTTGGAGGTCGGGGGGTTTGGAGGTCGGGGGGGTTTGGAGTTTGGAGGTCGGGGGTGTTTGGAGGTTGGAGGTCGGGGGGTTGGAGGTTGGAGGTCGGGGGGGGTTGGAGGTTGGAGGTCGGGGGGTTTGGAGGTTGGGGGGGGGTTGGAGTTTGGGGTCGGCGGGGGGTTGGAGGTTGGAGTCGGGGGGGGTTGGAGGTCGGGGGCGGCGTTGGGGTTGGGGTCGGGGGGGGGGTTGGAGGTTGGTGTCGGGGGGGGTTGGAGGTTGGAGTCGGGGGGGGGGTTGGAAGTTGGTGGTCGGGGGGGGGGGGTTTGAGGTTGGGGTCGAGGGGGGGTCGGAGGTTGGGGTCGGGGGGGTCGGAGGTTGGAGGTCGGGGGGTTGGAGGTTGGAGGGGGTTGGGGTTTGGGGTCGGGGGGGTTTGGGGCTTGGAGGTCGGGGGCGTTTGGAGGTCGGGGTCGGGGGGGGTTGGAGGTTGGAGGTCGGACGTCGGGGGGGTTGGAGGTTGGGGTTGGGTGGGGGTTGGAGGTTGGAGGTCGGGGGGGTTGGGGTTTGGGGTCGGGGGGGTTGGGGGTTGGAGGTCGGGGGGGGGTTGGAGGTCGGGGTCGGGGGGGGTTGGAGGTTGGGGTCGGTGGGGGTTGGGGGTTGGAGGTCGGGGGTGGTTGGAGGTCGGGGTCGGGGTCGGGTTGGGGTTTGGAGGTCGGTGGGGGGTTTGGGGTCGGGTGGGGTCGGGGGTTGGAGGTCGGGGGGGGTTGGAGGTCGGGGGGTTTGAGGTTGGGGTCGGGGTGGGGGTTCGGAGTTTGGAGGTCGGGGGTGTTTGGAGGTTGGAGGTCGGGGGGGTTTGAGGTTGGGGTCGAGGGGGGGGTCGGAGGTTGAGGTCGGGGGTTGGAGGTTGGGGTCGGGGGGTTTGGAGTTGGAGGTCGGGGTGGTTGGAGGTTGGAGGTCGGGGGGGGTTGGGATTTGGGGTCGGGGGGATTTGGGGGTTGAGGTCGGGGGGGTTGGAGGTCGGGGTCGGGGGGGGTTGGAGGTTGGAGGTGGGGGGGTTGGAGGTTGGGGTTGGGGGGGGTTGGAGGTTGGAGGTCGGGGGGGGTTGGGGTTTGGGGTTGGGGGGGGTTGGAGTTGGAGGTCGGGGGGGGGTTTGAGGTCGGGGTCGGGGAGGGGTTGGGGGTTGGAGGTCGGTGGGGGGGTTGGGGGTTGGAGGTCGGGGGTGGGGTTGGAGGTTGGTATCGGGGGGGGTGGAGATTGGAATCGGGGGGGGGTTGGGGTCAGGGGTGGTTGGAGGTTGGTGTCGGTGGGGGGGTTGGAGGTTGGGGTCGGGGTGGGTTCGAGGTTGGGGTCGGGGGGGGGGGTTTGGGGATGTAGGTCGGGGGGGTTTGGAGGTTGGGGTCGGGGGGGGTTGGAGGTTGGAGTCGGGGGGGTTTGGAGTCGGGGGGGGTTGGAGGTGGGGTCGGGGGGGGTTGGAGGTTGGGGTCGGGGTGGGGGGTTTGGAGTTTGGAGGTCGGGGGTGTTTGGAGGTTGGAGGTCGGGGGGGTTTGGAGGTTGGAGGTCGGGGGGGTTTGAGGTTGGGGTCGAGGGGGGGTCGGAGGTTGGGGTCGGGGGTTGGAGGTTGGGGTCGGGGGGTTTGGAGGTTGGAGGCGGGGGGGTTGGGGTTTGGGGTCGGGGGGTTGGAGGTTGGGGTTGGTGGGGGTTGGAGGTTGGGGTCGGGGGGGTTGGAGGTTGGGGTCGGGGGGGTTGGAGGTGGGGGTCGGGGGGGTTGGAGGTGGGGGTCGGGGGGGTTGGAGGTGGGGTCGGGGGGGTTGGAGGTGGGGTCGGGGGGGGTTGGAGGTGGGGGTCGGGGGGGGTTGGAGGTGGGGGTCGGGGGGGGTTGGAGGTGGGGGTCGGGGGTTGGAGGTGGGGGTTGGGGGGGGGGATTGGGGGTCGGGGTCGGGTTGAGCCGCTGCTCGGCCGCTCACCGCCCGGTGCCGGTGCCGGTGGCGGTGGCGGTGTCGGGGCCCACTGTGCTGCGCTGTGCTCTGACCTTCCTCCTCCTTGACGTTCAGCACGTCCACGGCCACCATGTCGGGCTTGTCCGGGCCCCCGGCGAACGAGACCTTCCTCTCGGTCACCCCGCACGGCACCACGTCAGGTTTGGGCCCGTACTTTCTGGGATAATAATCCCCGGTGGGGAACCGCGACGTGTCCTCCGCCATCTTCCCCTCACCCGGCGCTTAAAGCTGTACTCGCCCCCGAGAGACTCCCAAATAAATAACTTCACACCTTCACTTCTGGCTTCAGCGAAGAGCAGAGCAGAAAGGAAAGGAAAGCGGCGTCTCCCCCAAAACCCACTGCTGCTAATTTTCGTGATTTTTTTTTTCTCCCCCCCGCGACCCGCCAGCCCGCGATTTACAGTCCGTAGACCCAAATTGATTTTTTTTTAAAAATCATTTTTTTTTAAAATAAAAAATAAAATATAAATGTTCGAAAAAAAATTCAATGCAAAAAAAAATCAAAAAAAAAAATCTGTGATCGGCGGAGGTTCCTTTTAAGCTGCGGGTGAGACATTTCGCGTCGACTGGTCTCTTCCATCAGAGATTGGATTCGAAACAGTTAGGATTTCCTAACGCGTTTGTGTTCGGGTACGGTGTCCCCCCCGCGGGCCGGACGGTCACTGCGGGTGGGGGGGGGGGGGGGGATTGTCGCGTGTCCGGGTGTTGGGTGAGCGGTGCAGCCGCTGCCCCGGGGTCGCTGTCTGCACCTTCAGTCGGGGAATTCTCAGAGTGGGCAACAGTGTGGTCACCGACCGACTCCCCTCCTCAAGGTCTGGCTTACAGGCAATGGATTCCGCCCTACAGGCTTGGAACTGGTCTGTTCCAAAGGCCTGGCAGGCAGGCAGCAGGCAGGCAGGCAGGCAGGCAGCAGGCAGGGGTTTAATAATAATCCTTGCATTTGATATTTGATATATATATATATATATCAAATGCAAGGATTATTATTATTATTATTATTATAGCGCTTTTCACGTCGGGAGGACGTCCCAAAGCGCTTCACAGAACACACTGTAAAGTGAATTGACTGTATATTTGTGGGCGAACGCGGCAGCCAATTGCGCGCAGCAATGTCCCACAAACAGTCGTGGATTGAAAATGACCCAATTTATTATTGTTTTTGGGTTTTGGAGGGATTATTATTAGGCTCTGTGTGGAGTAAGGAAACTTGCCCAAGGTTTCGCCCTGTGCCTGGAATTGAACTCAGGTCTCTCACTTGCAAAGCGAAGTACTCTGACCACTGAGCTACAGGACTCCACAGGGTACAGGGTTGTTCAACGACTGGGTGTATATAGGCTGGGCATTGACTTGTTCAGAATTTGGTTGCAGCTGGACATTGTCTGGTTAGAAACTGGTTTAGGGTTAGATGGTTCTTCAACATCTAGTTATGGAACCATAGAATTATACAGCGCAGAAGGAGGCCATTCGGCCCATCGTGTCTGTGCCGGCTCTTTGAAAAGAGCTGTCCAAATCAATCCCACTCCCTCGCTCTCTCCCCATAGCCCTGGAAACTTGTCCTCCCCAAATAATTATCTACTCTCTTAAAAGTTGTTATCGAATCGACTTCCACCATCCTTTCAGGCAATGCATTCCAGATCCGAGCTGGGTAGTAGCTGTATTGACTTGAAAGTGCTGGATAATGTGCGAAATACTTTGAAATTAAAGTACATGTTTGATTCTCCTAAACTTTGTGGAAGTTCAATAATTCAGCTATATTATTCATTGATTCTTGCAGTTTTCCCCTTTAGAATGGCACCAAAAACCATGGAACCAATCGCAAAAAGATTATTCAAGGGAATTTTGATCTTTGAATTTGCAGGTGTTTTAGGAGCCTACTGGGTGTTTCAGAGAATGAATACCAGTCAAGGTAAGGATTGCTGGGGCAAATAGGAGGCTTGCTTACATAATCACTACACTTATAATCTTTTGAGATGATTGATAGAGGGTGCTCAAAATACAATTTATTTTATAACTTTGTTAATAAAGACATTTTTGAAGAGGACTGATTTTCACTATTGGAATCCAGTCCTTATGCACATTATTTGTTGCTAACTTCTGTGGGAGATCTGGCTCTTGTGAAAGACTGCTAATATTTTTAACTGACTTTCTAAGTTCTCATATATGTAATTTGGGCCTCTTTATGTTCCCAACCCATTTAGTGCCCCCCCCCCCACCCCCCCCAAGTAAAGTCTATGTTCCATCTTCAGGGGCCAGATTTACTATTCCACCGTGTTTTCCTGGTGCAATGTTAATTCAAGTACAATATCTTGTTTTAACAGAATTCAGACAAACATTGAATAAAAGGTTTCCCTCCATTTTGGAAGGTTAGTAAATTTGTATTTATTACCATTTAAAATGTATTGGTACAGTACTTAAAAGCTTTGATAATCAAGATGCTTTAGAATTGCTCCCCAGTAAATCATTTGGAAACAGCTACCTTTCAATAAGAATCACCCATCTTCCAATCAAACATAGGGAGAGTAAAATGTAATTTAGGTGGCTTGCAAAGGTGCTTTAGCAAATCTCATCTGTAATGAAACTACATGTGGAATTTATTTTATTTCTTCCACCTTGCAGTCAAATCTTTGATACATCACAGGTCCATACACAAAACGGGCACATCATGGACTGATAGTATACAAATAATGCAGAATTCAAAATTACACCAACTGGAAATGTTTTATTCAAACAGTATCACTACTAGAACAATTAAGACAATTGTGGTTCCTACAAACATCACACATCTAAAGTGGGCTTGCTTAAAAGAAATGTAAACTCTGTTCTACATTTCGCCCACAAAATATAGTCATTCCATTTTACAGTATATCCTGTGAAGTGCTTTGAGATCTCAAAGACGTGATAAGGCGCATTATCAAATGCAAGGATTATTATTATTTTTACATTCTTGTCTATAAACTAGTGAATACAACAACAAAATTACATTTGTATCGCGCCTTTCACATTGGGAAGTCATCCCAAGGCGGTGAATAATCTCAGGAATCCTGCATAGTCAAAGGGTCAGAATACACTATTATGTACACAAACAGATGAATTGAGAAAGGTTTTTTGTTAATTATGTCAGTGGTGTAATAAAATAAGTAGCTGCACAATGGAACAGCAGGATGTTTCACCTACTTCAGTTAGCTGTACTAGAAGTGAAGAATTTCTCCGTCACAAAAAGAACTGCCAACATAGGTTATGCTCACATCCTTTAGCAGTGGGTTTCAAAGCCTAGAAACATATTACTGTCATCTTGTTTGAGTTATCCTGCTTGGTGTAATGGGGGGGAGGGGGGCGGGGAAGGATAAAAAAAAGTACCTCCCATACTGCCTCTGTTGGTCATCACAGGCTAATGAAGAAGTGGTATGGATAGGTGTGATTATTCTGCGGTGTGTTAGCTGATCTTCCTGGGACACACTAGGGTTCCTGTTGAGCCTGCTTAGAAGTTTGAATCTAGGGAACCCAGTTAATCATGGGTTGTCTTATAGCAGATGGAGCAGGGACCCCAAAATATGTGCATTGTGCAGTCAGCCAGTTTAATTTTGCACACCTGCTGGCTTCCATGCAAAAAGAATGGATGACTTTCAGGTAACTGTCCTGGTGTGCGCATGTGCAGGTGAAATTGCTCTGAGGACCTGGAACTCTTGATAAAACTGAAGCGTGAAAGTCAAACAGTGCATAGGAAGTCAGCAGGCTATCTGCACACCTGCACAATGAATGTCGAAGAGCCGAACAGCTATTATGGCCCTTACACATTGGTTGGGATTTTATGCACCCCACCTACCACCTCATAACTGGGTTCCACTTTATATAAAGTCCTGAAAATAGATCTTTAAAAAAGCCCTCCGTGACACATTCAAAGAAGGAACCGAATCCTTCCATCATCCAGAATCAATCTAAAGCAATACACTTGTCCTTTTAGCTGGTGCAGATTATAAGCAAAGGATTTTGTGATGGAATTTGATAACACATTGATTAATCAGGATTTTTTAAAAATATGACTTTCAGTTTATTATAAATCCAACGAATGGGCAGGAATTTATGGAATCAGAGAAATGGATCAGGAAACCTGGTACAAGAAGGATAACCCATGAATATGCAAGTACAAAGTTAGCTTTTATTCTTTATTCAATATGTATATAAAACTGCAAATTGTGATGCCAGTAAAGAGCGCTGTCCATTTTATAAAAATGATTGAACGCTCTTCCATTATTTCTGCTTTTTGAATCCTTTACGTTTGTTTTGCAGTTTCTTGCCTTTGAAGCGTTTCTTCTGTTTGCGTAAAGTTTGACTATCTTTGCCTCTGACCCAAGCATCACGATCAGATTCCCACTGTAGCTGTTTCATATCTGAAAAACAACGATGCATTGAAGATTCAAACGCCTGAACTTTGCAATAGTACACCATTCTATGTATATAGTATCTGGCCAATGGAAGTATGTTATATTCTGACAAAATTAAAATACAAAATTGAATCTAGTTTAAGAAATACATAAACCAAACGCTTTTCCAATAATCTCGATTTCCATGTAGTAGATACAATGTTCTCAACATCTATTTTTATGTTGAAGTCATTTAAAAAATGCAGAAAGCTATTGTAAATACCTTACATTAGCCATGTCTAAACTTGTATTGTTCCGAATGTTAATAAAACGTATTACTTGCTAATATTAATTTCATAAGATGTTAATAAAATAAGATTAACATTTTCAGTGGGTACTTACGTGCTTTATCTTTGTTTGCCATTGCATTTAAGCCAATATTGTCAAACTTTGATCCTGCATTTTCATCCAGTAGATAGCCAAACTAGAAAAAGCAAAGCAAAATAAATTCAGCTTGAGGAATGTAAAACATAAAACGACAGTTCACCAGAATGGAGATCAACGTTTGTGATTTTTTATTGTACTAAATTATCACAAACATTTATTTATATTTAAGACTGAGTTTGGTCAGTTTAAATTTCAGACGTAGAATAATCCATGTGAGCTAAACTTGAAGCATCTTTAAATCGTGGCAATTGGAAAACTGTTACTAAAGTATGTATGGGGCAGTAATGGGATAATACTGAAATGAAAAGAAGGATATCAGGAGTGTTGGAATTTTTTGTTAAAAACTGGAAACAAACAATTGAAACGTGTGTGTTATAAAGAATGTACACGCACCTCCTCTGCTGCAGCAAACATGTCACCACTGTCCTTAGAACCCCTTTTCAGTTTCTTTCCTGGAACAATTTATAGATTTGAAGATATTAATTGAGGAACTCCACCTTCAGTTACACTTACAGTAACAAATTAACTGAAATTCCCAAAATGATTCTTACATAATTCAATTTCATGAATTTAATTAAAAATAACTTTTGTCCTAATTCCAAGAAAACACCGGAGTAAACCCACTAATCTAAAATTCAGGATGAAGTACTGTAGTAAGTAAACGTGTGAGTTTCTGGGATTAAAATATAATTTAAGGTCACAGGTTTACTTAATACAGTACAGTGCAAACGCCAGTCTTCCAGTCTTTCCTGTCCCAGAGATGTTGAAACCAGCCTTTGCACTCTAATGATCTCAGCCTTAACAGATCAGTTTATTCCTCAGAAATCAGGGATTGAACAGTCATAACATAACATATAGGAGCAGGAGTAGGCCATTCGGCCCTTCGAGCCTGCCCCGCCATTCAATCACGGCTGATCTTCTAATCTAACTCCAGCTAATAACCTGACCCTGCCTTATGCCCATATCCCTTAATCCCTTTTGCAATAAGAAATCTTATTAAGAAAGAGTCCTTCCTAGTCTCCTACTTAGTGTGCATTGTCCACTGTGTCAGGGAAGGGAACAAACTAGTTTAATTTTCTGCTATTTCCGCTTAATTTTCTGCTAAATAAATCAAAAATTTTATCTGTGTATGTGAAGTATTGCAACTCAATAGATCCTAGGAGGATCAATCGACCTGACTGAAGCCATTTAAATTATGCACTGCATTTAGAACATCTAGGTTACTGAAATCTAGATACCATTTCAAAAAGCTTCTTCCTGTGATAAATACTGAGAAGGTCTCCATTAACCTAGTAATATTCTAGCAACTTTGATATTTACAGGTGTTCTGAGAAATTAAATCAACTTTCTTGGTTGAGGTTCATCTAATGAAACAAATCAAAGAACAAACTTCACGGATCTTACCTCCAAAAGATTTGGCAAAATCAATTTCATCTCTTTTCCTTTTCCCAGACTTCTTGGAACTTTTGCTTGTCTCTGCTTCGCTGTCAACATCTAAACATTTACATGAACAGTAGTTATGCAACAATTTTTGGGTGAAATGGCATTCTCCATATTAAAAAGTCAATTAAGTGTTATGCACAAAATCAATGCATTAACTATGACTAGAAAATACAGGAAATATAAAAGGTCATAATATCTTCAAAGGCATCCATTTCATCTTTTGGAAAAATCTAAATGAAAGAACTGCAAATATATACACTAACAATACTATAATCCATCCACTTTTTAAAAAAATGGAGATTTGAATTTAGAAATAATTCATTTGAAAAGCTTCCCTGTGGAACTTTGAAAAGCCCATCCTAATGGTAATCTTTACGAGGTAATTCATAATTTCCATTGGAAAAAATAGGATAAATTCCTTGGCAGATATTTTGAATCTGGTTACTAAAGAATATCAAGAATGTAGCAAAGATACAGAAATAGTGAAGAACCTTCATTCTTAGTTGATTTTATTACATATAAAAAGGCAACCAAGAATATAAATACAGTAGTCCTATTCTATAAAATTCATTGGTCATATGATAAGTAATCCCATGATGTGGGAGCCTATATGGCAATTGGACCCTGATCCAAGATTGTTGGAATTTTATGGATACGAATTATTGCATCATTAGCTCTACTGTAGCTAATAATGTTTGGCAACGCAGTTAATGGAACTACATTATATTTTTATTAAAAANTATTAAGATCAATACTTTAATAGTAATATTCTATTGAAAGTTACACACAATGTCAATGATGGGACATTGTAATAAGGGCCTTAACTTGGAACATTCATTTAAGTATTTCTTTCTTTTGAAGGAAGAATATTCATCTCAAAGAATTGCACTACAGGGAAAACCAATGCTAAATTAATCTTTGACAAAAGAATTGTGAAGAAAAAATGGAGATAGTCAGGCTCAGTTGGTAACACTTTCACCTCCAAGTCAGAAGGTTAAAGCCACACATCAGAAGTTTGAACTCACAGTCTTGGCTAACACGCCAACACATACCTGGGGGTGCATTGCATTGTTGGAAGTACAGTTAACTCCTGGCTTACCAGACTCCAGGTATCCAGAATTTGAACCTAGCCAAAACCCAAATATTTTTGTAAAATGTGGGCAGGTCCACGTGTAGACTCCCGAACTCTCCTGACATGTTAATATTGGCTGGGGACATTGACTTTGACTCAGATTATTTGAATCCCGCGAGCAGAAGATAGTTTATTCAAACAATTACAACCCTGGTACCAGCATTTACGAGCATTTTTTAAAAATGCTGGACCACTATTGTAATTACACTAAGCTGGAAATTCCAGCTCACCAAATTGGATCTCCCTCCCATATTAGTACGCTTAGCCGGGGTTTAAGTGCACCACCCTCTGGACAAAAGATTAAACTGAGGTCCTGTCTGCCTGCTCAGATCACATGGCTCTATTCAAAAAGAAATACAAGTTTCCCTTCGATCTCACAATCTAACCTGGCTAAACTGTTATCACATCACTAACAATCCTCCAGATAAAATTGGCCATTCATTTCATAGCTATTTGTGGGACACTGCTGTGTGCATAACTGGGCTGCCGATTCACTTATAATACAGAATCACTACACTTTAAAGTAAATATTGTGAAACGCTTTGAAATATAAACAGTGTAGAATATGACTTGTTCATTGTGGAATAGGAACAGTTGGTGGTATAGGTGTTAAAATTGTGAATGGTACCTTCATTTGAATCTTGGAAGAATGCTCCCCCTTCTTTTCCGACCTCATCCCCAAAGTCTTCCTCATCCAAGCTTGATAATGACACTTCTTCATCATCCAGGTCACCCAGATCATCTTCGTCTAAATCTGATAGCTCTTCTATTCCCTTACGATCTTTTGATGTTTTTGTATTCATGTTACTATGAAAATGGAATATGAAAGGGAATAGAAAATGGAAGACATTTTTAACATTTCAGAGTTTCTTGTGTCTACTGCTGCAATGAAAATTGAATGGATAAAATAAAGATGAGTTTAATTACAAGATAAGTTGCCAACATTTACCCGAATTACTTGTCACTTCAAATGACCCATGTAAAAGGCCTAACTAAATTGCTGTCACACTACTAGTCCCTTTGCCCCCAACTCCTGCTTTCACATCCTTAGACACAGAGGATGTGAAAGCTGAACTGAAATCACATCCAACCTGCAGAGATGAAGAATTACTTTTCGCAATATACATTCTGATACACCATTTCAAGTTTCCTAGAAATAGGAAATCATCGAATATATTCCTGAAACAAGCAGGGGAATAATAGAAGTAGTTCATTTCAAAATGTAAATTTAGATAGATACTTAACAAAACTAGGGTTATATTAACATTATAGCCTATTTTAGGGCCTTATCCTGGAATAACAAACATGTTTGTGTCTCATGGCAAAGGATCTAATGACTCAAACACATTAAATATTATATGCCAAATTGCATTTTATTTTAATGGCATATTGTCTTCCATGGTGTTAAGAAAACATTCCGAAATAAATCACATATAATTGGCATTAAACTATCACAAAGATCCATTACATTCAAAAAGATTTAAGTTTTCCTGGTTTATGGATTTACAAAAATCCACAAATGAAATCCCAATGAAAATTAACATACTCCATTTCTAATACAGCTTCAGCATTAGATAAAATACTAAAATTTTATGCCAATGTTTCTTTAGTTTCTTTTTGACTGGTTAGCTTTGCACTTGAGAGGATGGAAAAAAACAGGAGGGATAAGATGTCACCTTAGACCACTTCTATGCATATCCTCGTAGTGAACTCAAATTGGAGGATGAGACAACAATACATGGTGTAGAAGACAAAGCAGAGGAGTGAAAAGAGGACAGATTACTTTCCTTCCACCCACAGGAAGATACCTAGTCTTTGCATTGTTCTCAATGTTTCACCTGAGTTACAGTAGTTAGAATCAGTGTGGAGGTCTTTTGCATCTTTTAAAAAAAGTGAATTGTAAATTTATAGCAAAAGAATCAATAAAAAAGTTATAGGAATATAATCTGTATGTTTTCTTCTAACAAATATTCACACTTTTAAGTTGAAATGGCATGGAGCTTCAATATAGCAAACGTTTGACAAGTCACCACAATTTGAAAGCACTGCATAGATTTGTAAATCTTACCTCGCAAAGTCCAAGTCATTATCAATCAAAGTTTGAAAATAACGGTCTCCTTCATATGAATCTGCAAAGGTAAATTACATATAAGCATTCACTACTTTATTTGAGTTGTAGCAAAACTCACATTAATCTTTCCGACAATATACAAGAGGTGCTAGAGAGGAGTCATGGTTACGAAAGAAAGAAAACTTACTCTACTAATATTCTAAAAACATTTACATACCCAAATTAATAATACTTACCAAGCGCCTTCTCAAACTCATCATCATCCACATCTTCAACATTTTGCCCACGGGGTCTTCGTAATTTCCGCAATGATTCAATTTTTCTGTAATATCTGAGTAAATGATAATGCAGCAGACAATTTTGAAGTAAGTATTCAGAAGGAATTAAAATGCCCTCACATAGTTGTTTTTAACAATGCATAATCAAGTTATTTTATGTATGCTAACTTATAAAGTGCCCCAGTGTGCACACGTATATTGGATGGAACATCCAATAAGCCATTGAAGCATATGATTGAAACTAAGAACTCAAACTATGAAAAAAGCCCCAAGAAACAAAATATTTTACTGAGAGTTGTGTGAATACAGTGATAAAGTGAGCATGCATTATACTCTTTTTCACTTTACCATTACATAAATACCACACGTTTCAAAAATGTCATACTCCGATTTGGGATTACCACTTTTCACACTGTCAGTTATTACTGGGAATTTGAACAATGTTTTGAGGGTCAAATACTATTGTGCACAAAGCATGATTTTCTTACCTATGGAAAAAGACTTCATTTACTGGGATCTGGCTCTCGTCCCGGTCAATAAATTCTTGACTATTCACTGTGAAATAGAATTTATGAAAATATCAACAAATTTTCAACTTCCACTTTAGTCTTCTAGATTTAAAAATCCAAAATGTACAATGTATTTTAACATTATGTAGGAACCAAACTAGTGTGTCCTACTGGCTCTCCAGCTGTGGGGAGATCATTGGGTTGCAAGCATGCCAGGCAGATGCTGTGGGGAGCACACGTGTGCCAATGACATCAGCAGTAGCTGTGGGCACATGTGGAATGATGAATCACGTGACTGCTTTGGCACAATGCTCTCATACAAAATTGAAAAGCAATGGCAGGAAAAGTTGAGAAGAACCTGAGCAGCAGTCATGTTAGATTGTGACAAAGTCATAGGATGACATCAAGGGAATGAAAGAGGACAATATCTAGAGATAGAAAGTTACAGACCTTTACATGACAACATGTAATTTGGTCAAATTAGTTGGTGCAGTGTTCGTACTTCATGAGTCACTACCCCTCTCCTACTCCCTTCTCCCTGATGTGTGAATCAAGTTTCCTCTTCCACTTTGATGATTTCTGCTTCAACCACAGCTACTGGCAACAAGTTCCACATTCCTTCCACCCTTTGCGAAAGATGTTCCTCCAATACTCTCTTATATTTCCCCCCCCTTGATTTGAACTCACCATCAAGTGGAAACAGCCTATCAATTTCCACTTTATTGAATTCTTTCATAGTTGTATATAGTTCTATCAAGTCCCTTCCAATTATCTCACCTCTAGAGAAAAAAAATTAAACTGTCCAATCTTTCTTGATAGCTGTATCCTCTCATTCCTGGTAACATACTAGTAAATCTCTCAAGATAAACTGAAAATGATTTAATAATATGCTCAGAATCAGTTTGGAGATACTTTTTGTGTTGGAAGTATAAGATTGTGTCCAGCAAATGTGGGATAAGATTGTTATTTTGCTTAATTGTTATTTTCTTCTGGATCTGTTCAGTCTTTGAATATTATTGTAAAATTGAATCATACATTGAGGCCGTGAGACAGAATCCTACTTTAAATTGCAGAAGCTAAATGTGGCTTTCCATCAACTAATTCAATTCTATGTTTTATTAATAAAGTCAACTAATAAATTAGTTTATAAATTAACCTGAGTTGAAGCTTATTTGTAGGATGTGGGAGCTATTTAATTATTTTCCCTTGTTATCAATAGCAAACACCTAGAGAATAACTTTTAAGTATCTCTTACCCATTATTCCTACAAATAGAAGGCTAACAGTGAACATCATATTTTGCTCACAACTTTAGTTCATTCATTACCTGGCAGATTACGCACATTACTCATTTGAAATTTCTGTTTCGGCTGCATTACAACGTTGTGAGTATTTTCTGCAAAGAAACAAAGCGTTTTGTCAGAAGATAGTAACTTGATATAATCTCTTTTGGCTATAATTCTCAATCCTCTAAAATACATTTCAAACACACGCTGAAAGAAAATGATGAGAATTTGCAGAAGACTTCAAAATAATATAATAATTACATTTGACATAGCTCTTCGGCATGTCATTGAGACATCTCAAAACATTTTACTGTGAGGTATAGTGGATGTGTCTTTGGTGGTTAAAATAATATTTTGCCAAATTCAAGATGTGTTCCCATTGATTGAAACATTAACAGAAGCCCCAAAAGGCTGTGGATGCTAGATCCATTCACATTTTCAAGACAGAGCTAGTTAGATATTCGTTAGGTCAGGGTATTAAGGATATGGGGCAAGGGCGAGTAACTGGACTTGAGGTACAAATCAGCCATGATTTTATAAAATGGCAGAACAGACTCAAGGGACTGAATAACCTACTCCTGTTTCCATGTTTTTAAGTGGAATTTGATATTTTTCATAATATAACATCGAATTTAAAATGAGCATTTTTCATCCCTTTATCCGTAAATACTCCAGGTCCAAAATTCTACTTAGTCTCAGCCTCTAAGACCATTTTTCCACTTAAGATTACAAGGAAGTGTGGAAATTCTTAAATTCATTACATTTAGAAGCTGTTTTTCTCAGTTCTTAAAAAGAACCACCTTCCAAATTAATATTAAATTTAAGATTATTCTGGAATCCTGAACAATCTTAAATTTAAGACAAATTTTCTTACAGTTTAAGAATAGGTGGAATTTCAGACCAACCAAGTATTGTACTAAATCCTACAGAGTATTAGAAATGCCTACAAGCAAGAGCTAATCAGCCCAGATCGTAAACATATAGTGTTCTATGCTTCACCACCTCCATTTAACAAAAACTCATATGTACATCATCACATAAATAAATAACTACACAGGTCTTAATACAAAACATTTTTAAAGAATAACTGGATAAAACAAAATTTGTTTTTTGCCAAAGCATTATGAGGTCATTTCAATAATTATATTGTTAGCACACATACAAGTTGTATTTTTTTTTAAAAAATAGATTGCACACGCATGTGGAAACCCTGCATTTAATGATTGAGAAACAGTTCACTCCTGGGGAATAACATGGGTAATATATACTTTTTGAAGAACTTGTGTGAAATGAAATACAGAGATTTCTGAAAGTAGTAAATTAGTTTCAGTACTAAATGTTTAAAGAACAAACTTAACTTTTACCTTTGCCTTTGTATTGTTTGGGATTTCTGTATACAAAACGATCAAGAAATCTCATTAATGTAAAGTCCTGCAGAGGGTCACCTGAATACTGGATTTGGTCACCCTGCAAGAAATCAATAACAGCAACACAGATTTATTTCCTTCCAACTCACAATAAATGATTTCCCTCCAAATCCATTCAGTACCTTCACAATCAAACTCTGGTAATTTATGATATCATGTTTTTTAAAGAATGATTTTGTGACCAAAAATACAAATTATATAATTCGCAATACACAAATAAAAGTACAGAAGAAAAATCACATTTAGGAAGTACTTCCCCAATCAGTAAATAGTGTGGTTCTGAGTCATAGATTCCTGGTGTGGGCATTATTGATCTCAAGTGTCACACTGTTACTTATTGACTTTCACATTATTGAAGGAAATTTTCAGGTATATTTGGTGATTTTCAGGTATATTTGGTGCTAAAAAAAATTCTATATCATTAGGTCCATTGTTTTTGTGGTTTTCATATTGATTAAAAAACAGTTGCATATGAAATTTATTATCGAGAAGCGACAAAATGAAAATAAACATAATATTTATGTATCTCACCTGGAGAATAGTAGTTGCAAAAAGTGCCACAGATGGATGAAAATGTTCACTCAGCTGTTGATGAAAACAATTAATTAATTGTACAACTTCAATCATTCATACAAGAATATTGTAATCAAACTTTATATGTTTATAAATATCATTATTATTAACGTTTAAAAACATTACCTGCTTTAATTCCCAAAGGCTAGATCTGTCTGCTGCGCAAAAGAGGGGATTCCTGTGGAGTGGGTCGTAGGTCTCCAGACACTTTCCACCTAATACAAAACCAAAGTTAAGAATGAAATAATCATGCCTTGTGGGAAGTGATTTTCCTCTTGGGAGGGGTGGTGAGGGCAGAAAAGAGAGAAATTAGGTAAGTAGGGTCTCTTTGGAAATGTGTTCACTCCAAGGTGACATGCCCGACAACAAAAGATTACAATTGGGTCAAGGATCTGTAATTTGGCATTCTAGTTCCTGAGCACAGCTGTCCATCGCACTCGGAGTCTGTTGATAAAAGACCAGCCAGCCAGGTTCGTTGGCCTAAGTCAGAGACATCTGACTGATGCCTACAGGACCAGTCACTGGGATTCTTCCCACTCAGTTCCTGCAGGACGAAACCCAATAGTGATCCACGATCATAAATTATAATTAATAATAATCCTTGCATTTGATATAGCGCTTTTCACGTTTTCTAGACTTCTCAAAGCGCTTCAGAGAATATACTGTAAAGTAAATTGACTGTATATTTGTGGGAGAAACGTGACAGCCAATTGACAATCAACAGTAAATGTGCATTGGGAGTTATGTGGTTTTAACTGGTTAAACTCCAGCAGTACCCCAAATCATACTCTGGGTACCCCATGTAATGGATCTCACCAACTTGCATCTAATATCTTAAGTCTAAGGTAACAGTGTGTCTCCATCCAGCTATACAAAATGTGCATTCCAGTCCAGACACAGGCAAATTTCTATCTGTAGATGGCATACATTTATCGGCTCAGACCCACTTATCCAATGTGCGCACGAGATAGCAGGGAGGCGTCACTCACTCTTTAGACACGTCTGGTCTAATGAATGGGTCACCTGCACACTAGGCTCTTGGACTTACTGTTCAGACATACCATGTCTCGAGTGTACCTGGAGGTGGACTCGTGGGCATCCAAGATATACCTGGATGACAGATCAGGGCCAATTTGGATCTCGAGTCTCAGGAGGCTTGGAATACTGCATGTGATTAATTGTTGTGGGGGTTGTGACACCTCAATGTTGGAACATGCATAGTAGTAGTAATAATTGAAACTCTCAGTCTGGTTTTGACATTCTCAAGCAGGGTAATTGGTTTCGGCATCTGTAGGAGACAACTGGCTGACCAAAAAGCCTGAAGGAATTGTTAATAAATCGCAAGGCCCAAAAATGTCTCATCCAAAAAATTTACCTTCCTGATTCTGGTGGTGTAACCATGACCCAGATACTTTTGATTTTGTTTTCCCAGCAATGACTGCAGCATTCTGAGAGCCCAATTCTTTTTCTTTGTCAATATCTGCAAACTTTTCATCAGTTCCGTTGTCTGTTGAGATCTTGTGCATTTTCTCTTCATCAAGATCTTTAAATTGCTCTTCCTCCTCAACATCTTTAAAACATTCTTCATCGTCTGAAGCCTAAAAAGAAAAATATAGAAATTATGATTTTTGTGTTTTAAGCTGCTGGAAATATCAGCGCAGCAAAGCAGAGCCAGTTTATTTCATAGACCTAAATAGATCACTTAAGGAACCCAAAAAAGATTCCATTAACATTTAAATTAAATGTGCTTAGTTTGTCTTAAGATAATCAATTTGTAACTAAGTAAAAGTAATTTAGCTAGATAAACATTTTTTATAATAGTTATAGCAATTTCCAAAGTTTCAGAAGCAACTTCAGAAGCAACTTTCTATTTTGGTACCTGCTATCTATCCACCTATTGAGGATATGTCAGATGTCAAATGAATAACTAGTGATGTAGTTTTATTTTTTAATGATTTGATGTAGCATTGAAATGTCTTAAAGACCTTCACACAATGAGTTGCTTTGAAGAGTAATTACTATGTAAATACGGCAGCTAATGTGTGCTACTACTATCTCATAATGATCAGCAAAGTGGGAAAAATGTAATCAGTTTTGGTGAACTTGAATGAGGAAAGACTATTGACTGCTGCAGGAGGACAACAATTTGTTCTTTTTTATAAGATCTCTAAAATCCATCAGAACAACTCAGTACTCCTTTAATACTACACTGCAGAGTCGGCCTGGGTTAGGATCTTTACTTGTGTGGGGCTCAAACCATACCCTTCTACACCTCTGATCCAGAAGAAAGTACTACCACTAAATCAAACTAATCGCTCAGAGACAATTCATCAAAGAACTAAGACAACACAAGTTATTGACTAGAAAATGAATTCCGACACATACACAAACAAATGCCTGGACAAAACCATAATAAAGCTCGCCAACAATGTATTTTCTGTCAATGGCTTTCATCAAAGATCAATTATTGAAATGAGTAAATACATTACCTCATGTTCTTCCAAAAGGACTTTTAGACCTGGCTTCTGTTTTAGGATCTCAGAAACAAGATAAAGGGCTCCACATATAAATGGTGGGGGTTGGCCACAAGTGACCTGCAGAATCCGCTTTACAAATGCCTTAATGCGACGAAGCACAACGTCGGACTTCAAAGACTTATAAAGCAAATTTAAAAACATGGCTTGCTTGGAACACTGTGCCAGTCCTGGATCTAGCAGTTTCCTGTACATAAGAAATAGAGCAAAAACAAACACCATTTAAGATCATACAATTATAGAACTTTACAGCCCAACAAATCTCTGCCTCGACTGCAACCCAGCTCTTATCCCCATACTCCTACAATGACTCCTTCTTAAGATATTAATCTAGTTCAGAAAGAGTTATATAAACCTCTTATACATTGTAAAAACAAACTATTGTAGTATTATCTGCAAGTGAAGAGAATATAATTATTCTCACTTAACACATTTGCACTGAAACTACAGTAGAACCCGATTATATATCTCGGTATTGGGAACCGTAAAATATCAATCAGCACTATAACATGGCATGATTGCCAACTGGCGTTTCCACATTGAGTGTAAGGCAGCCATCTCCATCAGTGCTTCAAAGCACTAGATGGTGTGTTGGAAATTAAAATGTTTAACATTGGGTCACCGTTGACATTACTTCAAGGCACAATTTCAACCGAGGTAATTAGATGAAAGGATATTATTGAACCCAATTAGCTATCCATTTTCCCCTTAAAGACAATACCCCTTAATAATAATCCTTGCATTTGATATAGCACCTTATCACGTCTTTGAGACGTCTCAAAGGGCTTCACAGTCAATTCAGAAGTGTATAGTATATTTTGGGGGGCAAAACATAGCACACCAGTGTCCCACAAACAGTCGTGGATTGAGTGACCAAATTATTATATTTTTTATTTTTGAAGGGATTATTACCCCTGGAAAAGCGATCCACCAATCGACTAACAACCGGGTTCCTACTTACTGCTAAGTAAACAGAGGTGTGTGGAATAAGGAAACTTCCCTGATATTTCGCCCTGCCTGGGAATCAAACCCAGGTCCTTTCTCTTGCAGGATGAGTGCTCTGACCAATATTGCTACAGAACTCCACACTACTTTAAGTAGTTAAGTACAATAATGCACACAAGAGCATCTTAATGATCAGTCACTTAAACCCTCATTCTAAACAAAAATCTGAAACCTCAAATTAAGCAACCATTAGTGAATCTTAAGATTATTTAACCTCATTCTTCAACGAACATCTGTATTATTGTTTGTGGTGTGCTAAAAAATTATTTCACAGAGCAATATCTTTAATAAAGGAACCTATGAATGAATCAGAACTTTCAGTCAGTCAATGGAGTGAAGAGGAAAAATAATTCTCTCTTAAATTATTGTAACAAACCCCTAAATCAATGGTGGTCAACCTGTGGTTCATGGGCCGGATATAGCAGCCCCTGAACATCCGCATGAGTCCAGGTTAGTCTGTGGTTGATCGATAGTGTGTTTTCAGTTTTTTCTTAATTGAATATTTCTTGCCTGATGGCATAAATCAAAAAATATTCAATCAGGAAAATGTATTTTGTTGACCAATCATAAAGGTTGGTGACCATTGCCCCAACTGCTGTAGACCCCTAACTTAACTACTTCAGAAAACTCAAATACATTTTCACTGTAGGCTTTAGTCAAATAGAATGCTCAAGAAAATGTTACCTGTATAGCACTACATAATACCGATCAGATATGGCTTGCTGTGAGTCCATCACCTGAAACAGTAGCATGAGTGCTTGGACGCTTGTACTGAAGTTCACAACATGCACAACCTTGAATAGGGTATCCAATTGTTCCATTATCTTTTCATCACTCATGTTGGAATAAGGAAAAGCTCGATTGACACCTGATAATACAGCACTGAGCATTTTAGAGTTTGCTTCCTGCTTTTTAACACAAGCACGGAAAAATGAAAAGTAAATTGTTATTAGCTTGCCAGCAAGATCATTCTCTTCGTGGCTCAAGACTATTTGGCTAAGAAAGCAAATAGCATAGTACTGGGCTTTTGGGCTGATGTTAGGTCTATATAGGAGTCTTTCAACTTCATAACACACAACGGTTTTCATATTGGGATGTTTAAAAAGCAGAGTCTCCAATAGATAGGAGGCCCGGGTAGCCATTTTGTATTGTGGATCCCCCATCTTATTCACTATTTGAATCAGCAGGGCTCTTTCTTGCTCTGGCTTATTGCACAATAGCTCATGAGCTGCAGCCAAGGCACGGGCTTTTGTTTCTGCGACAGTGTCATGAGCCATAGTTTCCAGCGACTGCACAAACTCAGCAACTTGATGTTTCAAAAGGTGTTCAAAATACCACAATAAAAGACGTTTGTCTCGGGCATCCCTGTTTCCACTGGCAAGCTTCTCTATATTTTCAAAGGGATGTTGAGAGAAAGTCTGGAGTTTCCGGTTGTCTGGGAGAAGATCAGAGATAAGGAGTTCCTTCAAAGTACTCAAGCCAATTAGACACTGCTGTCGGCTGCCTCTCTTTTTGACCAAACTGACTAATGTTTCCACAAAGTGCATAGTGTGCACTGGAGTATCTTGGATTAAAAGGGTCATGGCTGCCATTCTGTCAGCCAAAGTTCCTGTTGTGACAACAGTTTTCATCCATGTTGAGTTTGCTGAATTTTTGTTACCTTTCTTATTCTTGTAAAGATCAGTCTCATGTTGATATAGCTGTTTAGCTAAATCCCTGTACTGTTTGACCACAGTTTCATTTTGTGGCTCAGAACTGTACTCTTGAGCATAATCCATATCATACCACTTTCCTCCAGGTTTTATCAGTAAATAAGGTTTGGGATGGAACTCAAATATGTCCTGTTGTTTTCCTTTCTTGCCAGGTAATCCAGATGTTTTGGGTACTTCTTTACTCTGAATAAGCTTTTTCTTTTGTTCGTTGTTTGGCAACTCCTTTTTACCTTTCCCAACTTGGGATGTCTCTTTGTGTCCCTCATTTTCAGTCTTCTTAGGTTTCTTCTCTTTTTTCTTTTTAACTTTTTCCGTCTGAGTATGTTCTTCGTCTTTTTCTCCTAGCAGACTTGAATATTTTCTTATGCCTAGGTTATTTATGAAAGCTTCCAATTCACCTTCTTTTAGATCATCTATTGTACCCTTTTTGTCACCATCAATTAGCTCTGCAGTCTCATCCACTCCAGACAGCATAACATAGTCAGTCTGCAGAAGGAAAAAAATAGATGATCAACAACGATAACTTTTAGCCTTTATATAGCACAGCAACAATGATAGCATTTATATAGCGCCCTTCACATGGGGAAGGGTCTCGGAGTTCTTAACAGTGGCAGAGCCGGACACTGAGCCGGTGGGGTGTGGGGCAAGCACGGTCAAAGAGAAAGGTCTCCAGTCATGATCTAAAAGAGGGGAAGAAAGGGGCAAGGTGGAAGGATCGAGGGAGAGAATTCCAAAGCTTTGGGGCGAAGTGCCTGAAAATGGTGGAGTGGAGGGGACGAGAGACAAACAGGGGGCCAGAACCAGCCAAGCAAAGGCAGCAGGTAGTGGAGTGTAGAGCAAGTAGGTCAGAAAGGTTGGGAGGTGCTAGGGCTTGAAGGGATCTGTAGATGAGCGAAAGGATCTTGAAATCAATCCCTTCTGTGATAGTGAGCCAGTGGAGCCTGGCGAGGACTGGTGTGATGGGCGTACAGAGTTTAGTGTGTTTATTTAGGGGAATCATTGCCAGGACACCAGGAGAAACTAATTTATCTTTTGCAATAATGCCACAGGATCTTTAATGTTCAGCCAAACAGGGAGACTTCACATGAGCCTCCACCCTTCTAAATCCCCTCTCCCAATGCGCCAAATCTTAAGTCTGAAGGAAAGGTATGCGCAACTACTGTATTTGTTTTAAATTTGCACACTGCAAGATAATGTGCAGGAGAGAAACAACGTGAAAGCAAAATATTGTTCTTCTACAAGGTTTGCAACCTCACAGCACTGGTAACACCATATCACACCTGCTCTTCCACACAGCTGTGCAGGGAGCGTGGCGTGGAGATGGAGCACAGACAGAGGTTTAGGCTTACACCACAAGGTTTATGTATACTTCTTTGCCACCTCTATAACAAAATGCTTTGCAACGGAGGGTCTGAACCCCGCCAGCCCTCTGTGGCGGTCTGAACCCCGCCAGCCTGGCTCGGCAGCGGGACCGGGAAGGGCAGACCCCTCACTAGGGGGGGGGGTGGGGGGCGGGGAGTCATCCCACTCCGCTCCCGTTAACCCTGCAGCCGAAGCCCGGACAGAGAGGGTGGTCCCAGCCGGACAAGCAGCCGGAGAGCTCGCCGGGACAGCCACGGGGACGGTTTTAAAAACGATGTGACTTTAGCCGGTTAGACTCCAGCAGTCACCCCGACGCGCACTCAGGGGGAATCCCCGAGACGTGGCTCCTGCCAACCTGCGCCTGGCGCTCTCTGGAATTAGGTAAGCGTCCGGGACGCCTCGGATCTCCTGTCTCCGGGGAGGGAGTGCGCAATCCATTCCAGCAATCTATCCTCTGGGATTTGCAACGTGTCTGTGGAGGTCTCAGCGCGGTTTGGAGACCCTTCAGCCCGGTCTGGTCTGGTCTGGTCTGGTCTGGGGCGCACTTCACAGCATTCCCGGCACAGGGGCGCGGATTAAATGCCGTCGGCGGCAGTCGATTCGCTTTGCAGCGTATCCTGCGAGTGCGCTTTGGCAGCGTCTGGATAAGACCTCTCTGATAAAGCGCCGTATCAAAAAAGCAAAGATTATTATTATTATTATTATTATATCAAAAGTAAAGATGATGATGATGATGATGACATTACTGTTACACACAGTCGGGCCCCCGCGGCCAACAGCGCTCTCAGGCCACACCACGCGTGTGTCTGGGAGCGAAGGCCTAGTATCCGAAAGGCGCCTCGGCCTCTCCTACCCTCTCCCTCCCTCTCTCCTCTCCCCCTCTCTCTCACCTTAGTCCCTCCGAGCTGCAGCACGTCGTCCAGTGTGAACCCGCCGCCGCCGCCGCCGCCGCCATCGTGGCCCCGCGGCTGCTCCCCCTCCTCCTCCTCCTCCTCGAGCTCCGGCTGCTCGAGCTCCCGACGACCGTTGGTCTCCGCCTCGCGCGCCTCCATCTCTCACCTCACCAACCGCTGCCCTGCCAGGTCCTGCCAGGTCACCGCACACACACACACACACACACCGCCCCGCCCCGCCCGCATTGAAGATAGACAGCCCGAGCCGCGGTCCAACCGCCGCGGCACTCGCTGCCGAGGATAACTCTCGACTGTGGATTTTATTTTTATTTTTTTTAAAAAAAAAACGTTAAAGGAATATTTCTTTACTCAACCAATAGGACCTCTGACGGGTTGGAGGGTCGCAGGTCAGAAACTCGGCAACTGCCGCTTCACTGTAACAGAGAGAGACCCGCGTCTGCCCCGTCTGTGAGTGACAGAGACCAGGATATGTCTGACTGTGTGTGTGTGCTGGGTGTGTCCTGACTGTGTGTGTGTGTGTGTGCTGGATGTGTCCTGACTGTGTGTGTGTGCTGGGTGTGTCCTGACTGTGTGTGTGTGTGTGTGCTGGATGTGTCCTGACTGTGTGTGTGTGCTGGGTGTGTCCTGACTGTGTGTGTGTGTGTGTGCTGGGTGTGTCCTGACTGTGTGTGTGTGCTGGGTGTGTCCTGACTGTGTGTGTGTGCTGGGTATGTCCTGACTGTGTGTGTGTGCTGGGTGTGTCCTGACTGTGTGTGTGTGTGCTGGGTATGTCCTGACTGTGTGTTGTGTGTGTGCTGGGTGTGTCCTGACTGTGTGTGTGTGCTGGGTGTGTCCTGACTGTGTGTGTGTGCTGGGTATGTCCTGACTGTGTGTGTGTGCTGGGTGTGTCCTGACTGTGTGTGTGTGTGCTGGGTATGTCCTGACTGTGTGTGTGTGTGTGTGCTGGGTGTGTCCTGACTGTGTGTGTGTGCTGGGTGTGTCCTGACTGTGTGTGTGTGCTGGGTATGTCCTGACTGTGTGTGTGTGTGTGTGCTGGGTGTGTCCTGACTGTGTGTGTGTGCTGGGTGTGTCCTGACTGTGTGTGTGTGCTGGGTATGTCCTGACTGGTGTGTGTGTGCTGGGTGTGTCCTGACTGTGTGTGTGTGTGCTGGGTGTGTCCTGACTGTGTGTGTGTGCTGGGTGTGTCCTGACTGTGTGTGTGTGTGTGCTGGGTATGTCCTGACTGTGTGTGTGTGTGTGTGCTGGGTGTGTCCTGACTGTGTGTGTGTGCTGGGTATGTCCTGACTGTGTGTGTGTGCTGGGTATGTCATGACTATGTGTGTGTGCGCTGGGTATGTCCTGACTGTGTGTGTGTGCGCTGGGTGTGTCCTGACTGTGTGTGTGTGTGCTGGGTGTGTCCTGACTGTGTGTGTGTGTGCTGGGTGTGTCCTGACTGTGTGTGTGTGTGCTGGGTGTGTCCTGACTGTGTGTGTGTGCTGGGTGTGTCCTGACTGTGTGTGTGTGTGTGTGCTGGGTGTGTCCTGACTGTGTGTGTGTGTGTGTGCTGGGTATGTCATGACTGTGTGTGTGCGCTGGGTATGTCATGACTGTGTGTGTGTGCTGGGTATGTCATGACTGTGTGTGTGTGTGTGTGCTGGGTGTGTCCTGACTGTGTGTGTGTGCTGGGTGTGTCCTGACTGTGTGTGTGTGCTGGGTATGTCCTGACTGTGTGTGTGTGCTGGGTGTGTCCTGACTGTGTGTGTGTGCTGGGTGTGTCCTGACTGTGTGTGTGTGTGTGCTGGGTATGTCCTGACTGTGTGTGTGTGCTGAGTGTGTCCTGACTGTGTGTGTGTGTGTGTGCTGGGTGTGTCCTGACTGTGTGTGTGTGCTGGGTGTGTCCTGACTGTGTGTGTGTGCTGGGTGTGTCCTGACTGTGTGTGTGTGCTGGGTATGTCCTGACTGTGTGTGTGTGCTGGTGTGTCCTGACTGTGTGTGTGTGCTGGGTATGTCCTGACTGTGTGTGTGTGTGTGTGCTGGGTGTGTCCTGACTGTGTGTGTGTGTGTGTGCTGGGTGTGTCCTGACTGTGTGTGTGTGCTGGGTGTGTCCTGACTGTGTGTGTGTGTGCTGGGTGTGTCCTGACTGTGTGTGTGTGTGTGTGCTGGGTGTGTCCTGACTGTGTGTGTGTGCTGGGTATGTCCTGACTGTGTGTGTGTGCTGGGTGTGTCCTGACTGTGTGTGTGTGCTGGGTATGTCCTGACTGTGTGTGTGTGTGTGTGCTGGGTGTGTCCTGACTGTGTGTGTGTGCTGGGTGTGTCCTGACTGTGTGTGTGTGCTGGGTGTGTCCTGACTGTGTGTGTGTGTGCTGGGTGTGTCCTGACTGTGTGTGTGTGTGCTGGGTGTGTCCTGACTGTGTGTGTGTGTGTGTGCTGGGTATGTCATGACTGTGTGTGTGTGCTGGGTATGTCCTGACTGTGTGTGTGCGCTGGGTATGTCATGACTGTGTGTGTGTGTGTGTGCTGGGTGTGTCCTGACTCTTTGTCCAGATAGTTCATGACTATTTGCCTTTGGTGTCTTCAGATTACCCTGGACTCTCTCTGTGGGCGACTCCTGTTGTTTATTAAATTTAAGAGATGTCTTAAGAGACAAATTCATGAGGCTTTTACGATATCCACGTTTTTGGGGGCAAATTTGCCACAATCTTCCTAGAACAGGACCTTCAGGTAAAAAAAAAGAAGAATTTTGTTTAATTGATGAACTAACTGACTTCTGGCACAGTGCCAACAGCAATGTTTCCAGACAGGAGGCCATTCATCCCTTCAATTGGATGTTAAATTTATGGACAGGACTTGGAAGAGCAGGCCAGTCACCGGGGGCAGGGATTCTTCCCACTTAGCTCCTTTTAACACTGCAAGCCAAAGTTCTCATGGGTAATGGTGGTCTTAGCTGGACAAGAAGTTTGCCAGAAAGTTCTCTCAATGGCAAGTTATGCAATCTGAGCTGGTTAAGCTCCAGGAGTACCCCAAAACCACCCACTGGGGACCCCAAGTGTTATTTTTCGTCAACCTGTGCTTACTACTCTTCGGAATTAGGCAAGATGGGTGTGTCATTCCATGAAGAGGGTGTGCATTTTGTTTCAGAGACAGGGAAATTTCTATGTGTAGATGTGGTTAGATTGATAAATTGATCATTTATCAATGGACCTTGATGTGTGCAAATTTGTTCACAAGTTTGCTTACAAAAACACTGTAAAATAATTATTTGTACATGCGATATAGCATCTATAATGTGAATGCATCTCAAAGCAACAATAACAGGTAGTTATTGTCATATGTAGTGACCGTGGTTTTGTAGGCAAACAAGGCAACCAACTTCGCGTAGTCGTGTTCCATAGACAGCATGAAGTAACATTGTGAGAAGCACCCTTTTCAAATAATGGCCTGCGATCTTTAATATTCACCTGAACAGGCAGACCTCAGTTTAATGTCTCACCCGAAGGGATAGGACAGGACATCCGACAGTGCAGTTCTCTCCCAGTACTGCATTAGTTTGAGCCTATTCATTGAGCTGGAAATATCATCATGCAGTTTAACCCCACAACTTCAGACTCAGGAGCAAGTGTGTTTCCAACTATATCAGATAGGTGGGATCTTGGTTTCATGTCTCATTCGAAGAATGGTTTCTTGAACAGTACTCACTGCCCCAGTACTGCACTCGAGAATCAACCTCGACTGTGACAACATTTGACATTACCTATGAAGAGCTTTGAGATGTTTTGATGTTGTATTTGCTATATTAAGTCTATATTATTATTATTTAGCTACCCATCAAACTTCCCAATAGATTCTTTCCTTCCTCATCTATCTCATTACTTAATAACCCTCAATGCTTCTCATTTCCTGGAACTTTAGTTGTCTCACTTAAGGTTGGTCAACACCTTAATTCTACCCCCTCCCTCCTCAGTTGTGCGTGATCTCCAGCTTTAGATTCCATCCTCCTTTATCCCCAAATTGACATTTGCCTATTTTAACATGCATGTATCTCACAAAGGAAAAATAGGTGTTTTCCCTATCAGGTTCCAGGCTTACATTGTTGTCTCATTGAAATAAATGTTTTGCACAAGAGGGGAACATTTAACGTTTCTCTTCCATTATGTTGCAGTATTTGGGAGATGGTTTACAAGTGGATGGAGAAGGCCATGCTCCAGCACAGCAGAAAATCTAAAAGAAAATGATCCTGATACATCAGTGTTAAAGCATCTCATTTCAAAAATAAAATCAACAGGTCCCATCTCAACAGCAGAATATATGAGAGAGGTTTTAACTAATCCTGCTACGGTATGTAACAACAGTGAAAATTGGGTTTAAGTTTAAATCAAGTTTGAATTTAAAATGATTACTTGAAGAAAGTTCCATTTTCCTGCTAGTAAATTTAATTTTATAATTTACATTTATAAAATGCCTTTCACATCAGGAGGAATTCAAAGTGCTTCAATCAGCTCACTGGGAGTGTGAACTGGGGGGTGGGGGAATGACCAAAAGAGTGGTGAAAAAGCAGGTCTGAAGGAGGTTTTTGCAGGTGAGGAAAGAGGGAGTAAGCCAGAGGGACTCCAGGATGGAGCTCCAGAGGTTGGGGGAGTACGGCTGAAAACTCATCCACCGATGGGGCAGATCGGGTGAGGGACATGAAGCAGTCTAATGTTTGCTGAGTGGAGGGAGTGGCCATGATAGTAGGTTTGGTTTTGATACTCTTAAGCATGGTGATGGCTTTCTGCTTGTGTCAGACACATGGCTGACCCAAAACTTATATGAATTTGGCAGCTAATTTACACATAGCAATATCACACAAATATCAATGAAGTGAAAATTGATACAGTCATTTTAAACATCTGAAAACATTATAATAATAATAATCCTTGCATTTGATATAGCGCTTTTCACGTCGGGAGGACGTCCCAAAGCGCTTCACAGAACACACTGTAAAGTGAATTGACTGTATATTTGTGGGCGAACACGGCAGCCAATTGTGCACAGCAATGTCCCACAAACAGTCGTAGATTGAAAATGACTAATTTATTATTGTTTTTGGTTTTGGAGGGATTATTAAGCGTGTGGAGTAAGGAAACTTGCCCAAGGTTTTGCCCTGCCTGGAATTGAACTCAGGTCTCTCACTTGCAAAGCGAGTGCTCTAACCACTGAGCTACAGGACTCCACGTCCTGTAACTTATGTAACTTAACAAACTCCTTTTTTCAAAGGTATAACGCAGCTAATTTGTGTGATCTCTTGCAGGGTTACTATTGCCACAATGATGTACTAGGAGCACAAGGAGATTTTATTACATCACCTGAGATCAGTCAAATCTTCGGAGAGGTAAAATATTTTTTTTACCTGGTTTAAGAAAATTGATCATGGTTTTGTTAGAACCTGCAAACTAACCTGTCTCCTCCCACTCACATTTGATTCATGGGTATGTTAGAACCATACACATTTATTGCACATGTAAAGGCTATTCAGCCAACTGTGTGAGTGATAGCTCTTTTAAAGAGCAACTCATTCAGTTCTATTTACATTGGAAATGGACTCATTAGCTCACCAATCTGAAAATAATTTCTCCCTATTGATTCTTATCTAAACTTCACGTCATTTTAAAGATCAATATCAAGTCTCAGTCTTCTCTGTTCCAGTGAAAATAGGAGATTTCCTCCGATCTTTGCTCATAGGTCAAGCCACTCATCCTCAGTATCATTTTAGTAAATACATGTGGTGTATATATTGTAAGTAGCTAATCCGTATAGATCAGAAAATGTTGTATATGGACATAGGAAATCGGGAATAGGAGGAGGCCATTCACCAGTTGAATATATTCCATCAGTTTATTAATTAGATCTTGGCAAATCTTTCAATCCCAAACCCTCACCATTTTGCCATACCCCTTCATTACTTCATACCCGGGATCCGTTACTGTAAAGCGCTCTGAGACACCGTCCGGCGTGGAGGGCACTATATAAATCCAAGCTGTTGTTGTTGTTCATGACTACTACCCAAGTCTATCCTTTTTCTCTGCCAAAGTAATCCATAACTTCACAACTCCTTCCTGACCTTAGTACTATCTGTCTTGGCTCCAATTTTAAAGCTATCCCCCTTTGTAATGGAACCTTTTACCAAAGGGAAGAGTTGTCCATTATCTAACCTGTGAATTTCTTTCATTATTTTAAATGCCTCAGTGAAATTAGCCTTAACCTTCTTTGTTCTAAGGGAATATAACACCAGTCTACCCAGCCTCTTCTTATAGCTAAGCGCTTCATCTCAGGTAATAATCTAGTGAACTGTTGATTGACACTCCAAGGTTAGTACTGTATATCCATCTGAAGATTGGATGCCCAACTGAACACAGTACCACACATGAGGCCTGACCTGCTCTATATAAATGGAAAATTAGCTTCTCACTTTTAGATTCCAGACTTCTTATAAAAAAGACCAGCATCCGACAGGTTCAGTCCACAGTTTTAGCACACTTTGTGCTACGTTATCTGATATTAGGCAAAGCAATAATAGGGATGCTACATTGGGTTCAGCATATGATGGGTAAGGAAGAAGAAAATCAACCACCTCTACTCAACTATGCTTGTGTGGATGAAGAGTGAGTGCAGATTTGGGCTTAGCTGCACTGATATCCTATTGCTGAAGAACCGGACAATGCTCAATGCAGAATGAGTACAACAGATGTCTGACTCCAATAAAAGACAAAGAGAGTTAAATCACTTGAGAGGAGAGAAGCTTGGTGCAAAATACTGTTAATGGTCTACCTGTGTTGCACCAATCTTTCAATTGGTGAATACTTAGGTTTCAAATGCTGTTATTAAATTTATAACCCAGTAAATGAAACTTTTTTTATTATTTCTTCCTAAGTTACTAGGAGTGTGGTGCATCAGTGAGTGGATAGCTGCTGGGAAACCGAAGACATTTCAACTGGTTGAACTTGGGCCTGGCAGAGGTACTTTAACAAGTGATGTGATAAAGGTAAGTTAACCATCATTTGTAAGTCACCGCTTAAACACATGCATTTTCTAATCAATATTTTCTGTCCTCTTGTAACTGCTATAGATAAGAACTGCTCAAGAGGTTTAATATATGGAACATCATAAGTAACCTCAATAAAAAATTTAAACCAGAATCTATCAAATGCCAGCTCTCACATAATAGTCTAGATGTTTTGTGTATTTCATAATGAATTTATGAAAGCATCTCTATGATCGAATCCAGCTGGCCCATAGAAGTTCTTGCAACTTCTGGCCATATAAGAGTGAAATCAAGAAGCATTTTTTTACTCAAAAGGTGGTAGAAATCTGGAATTCTCTCCCCAAAAAGGCAGTGGATGCTGGATCCATCCACACCTTCAAAAGTGAGGTTGATAGATTTTTGGTAGGTCAGGGTATTAAGGGGTATGGGGAGAAAGCGGGACATTGGGATTGAAAGGATTAGTTGCAGTACAGATCAGCCAAACATTAGAATACATTAGAATAATCAGCACAGAAACAGGCCATTTGGCCCAAACGGTCTATGCCGGTGTTTATGCTCCATATGAGCCTCCTCCTGCCCTTCCTCAACTAAGCCTTGAAGCATAACCTTCTACTCCTTTCTCCCTAGTACCTATCTAGCTTTCCCTTAAATACATCTATGCTGTAAAGGTTGAACGGCCTACTCTTCCTATTCCCATATTCCTAACTCATCCAAAAGTCTTCAATATTATCACTTCTAGGTTTTCTTGGGTCACAGTAGTATAAGAACTATTTTAATATACTGTTATCTGCACAAAGAAAGAGGAGGGGAGTGCAATAAATATTCTGTTTTCAATAACATTCTTTGGAAAATGTGAACTATATAATAATAATAATCCTTGCATTTGATATAGCGCTTTTCACGTCGGGAGGACGTCCCAAAGCGCTTCACAGAACACAGTGTAAAGTGAATTGACTGTATATTTGTGGACGAACGCGGCAGCCAATTGCGCACAGCAATGTCCCACAAACAGTCATAGATTGAAAATGACCTATTTATTATTGGTTTTGGTTTTGGAGGGATTATTATTAGGCGTATGGAGTAAGGAAACTTGCCCAAGGTTTCGCCCTGCCTGGAATTTTTAGATTCAAGAATAGAAATAGAATTTAGATTTTTATGGCACCATATCACATTGAAACATCTCAAAGCACTTCACAAGTGGTTACTGTCAATTAAAAGGAAGTATTTTTGTAGGCAAATAGCTGTTTAGCGATTTGTAGCCACGAAAACCTGCAAACAGCCATGAAGTAAATGCCCAATGAATCTGAAGGATTATTATCCATGGCACTGAAAGAAACTCTCTTCTCTTTTTGAATAGTGTAATTGAGTTTTTACTGTCCAACCTGATCAACCAGGCCTTGAATTAATTTTTCATCAGAGGACACATCTTTAGCAATGCAGTGCTCCTTCAACACTCACTGAAATGTCAGCCTATATTATAAGGTCAAGTCCCCAATGTGGGGCTAGGAATTGTCAAATAAGGGAGATTAAAGGAAACATGCACATAATTGGAAATTGATGAAAAATATGCTAACCAGTTTGATACTTCTATTCTAGATATATTAAGACTAATGTGTATGTGAGGAAATCTGAATATGGATATGGTGTAAGAGGATACAGAAAAGTGTGATCTGGATTTGGAAGACAATGCAAATCTTACCTGTGTTTACATAATAAACCTGATCTTCCATTTCTAAAAACCCAACCCCATTGAATTTTAGATGGTTTTGCAAATAACATTGACAGAGCAGTTTGGATTATGGTGACAGTCTTTAGTATGCAAATGTGTTGCTTTGCATTTTGCTTTGTACAAAAAAAATTACTTTCTATAGAAAAGTATTCATTTGAAGAACATTAATTTGCATTATATGCTTTTCTTTGATTTATGTTCAGGTATTCAGCCAACTCAGTTCTGTACTGAGTAAATCTGAGATTTCTGTTCATTTGGTTGAAGTGAGCCCAAAGATGAGTGAAGTTCAAGCACAGCTTTTGACTGAAGGAGAGTTGCATTTATCACACAACCCAAGCGATATAGTTTATAAAAGAGGTAGTACCAAAACAGGTCTTCCAATCTTCTGGTACAGGGATCTGCAAGATGTACCTAAAGGTGAGACTATTCATACACAATGTTTCAGTAAATAATGTCATTTTAATCCAACACATTCCAGTTCTGCTTATTGCCTGCCTATATTTATGCTGCCCTTCAATTTCAAAGGTCTGGATTATTTTTCCCCATCAATACATATATTTTTTAATGAGAATATAAATAAATGAAAAACCAAAAGAAAAGCAACAAAAAACATCCATTCCTTTATTGTTTCCATGAATTTCCCTGCTTTTTTTGATCCTATCCCCTGAAAGATGGTGAGTGATGATAGGGATACAGGTGATAGATGACAGTTAATTTGTTTTCCTCACTGACCTTCCTAGCTTGACCCCATAAGCTCCAATTTTTCCTTTTTGAATTCTGCTCATCGCACCACTGCATGTCTTTCATCCTACCCTCTATCACTTTGCCAGACTCTGGAACTCCCTCCCTTAATCTCTTCATCTCACCCTCTCTCTATCTGTCTTCAAAAGCTGCATTAAAAACTTACCAACCACTGCCCCCCATGTTACTTTAATTAAAAAAAAGATTGCAAGAATAATTTCCTGTAAAGGGCATCTCAAATATTATAAAGTAGAATTATAGAAACAGTTGGAACTGCAAAACATGCCTTAATCCTCGGTAGTCCCTGAAATAATTGAATGATTGCAGCTGTGAGATTTTGTCTTGTTGCAGATATGTTACTGCAATCATCAAAGGTCTAATGATGTTTCTTTAAAATTAGGTTTTAGAGCTTATAGGTTATGCGGTTTAGTGCTTGGCCAGTATTTCTGTATGGGGTAGTCTTGTTTAGAAAATGACAATCAAAGTTTACACAAAAGCTTTGTGAATAATTGTTCAGTGTAGCCATACAATAATAATTCTTGCGTTTGATAGAACCATAGAATATTACAACGCAGAAGGAGGCTATTTGGCCCATCATGCCTGTGAAATAGCTTCCCAATCAGCCCCATTCCCCTGCTCTTCCCCATAAAATATTGATATAGCACCTATAACATAGAAAAACTCTCAGAGCACTGATTACCTTCAAGTGCAATGACTATATTTTGTAGACAAAATTGCGGTAGCAATTTGCGCAAAGCAATGAAGCAAATGACCAATTTGTCTGGAAGGTTCTTGACCTGGACACCCTTCTCCCTTCTCTTTTTGAGGTGTCTTGCAAACTAAGACTTACAAACCATAAAGTTAAAGATTTGAATCCTGGTCTGTGAAGGGACAACCTTGGGGACACTATCGTTGGCTGCAGCAGCCTTAGGTTAGGGGGAAGTGAACCCTGCTCGAAAGCGAGGCTGTGGGTGAGGACCGCATTATGTTTGAATACCCTGCCAGTACTCACTAATGATGAATTGTCACAGTTGGCGTAGTGGCTTTTAGCCACTATGCCCTGAAGCTCTGAAACACTCTCCCTCAATCCCGCCACCTTGCCCCCTCTCTCCCCTTTTTCAAGTCCCGCCTGAAAACTTTGCTTTTCGACCATGCTTTCAGTCACCTCCCCCACCCCCATTGGCTCAGAGTCAGGCTCACCCACTGTTAAGTGCTCCAAGATGCTACCCTATGTGGAGGGCGCTATATACATGACAAGTTGTTGTTGTTGAGGTAATAGAAGACACCTGTAAAATGGTGCTCCAGGAAAAGTAATTGAGTCATTGCCTTCAACAGAAAACAATGGCAAAAATTACACTCGGACGAGTTAATTATGTGCAAACAATGATTAAGTTTCAATCCCAAGAATTATTATATTGGAGATGGCTCTCTTTCAAAATGTAGAATGTTGCCAAAACATTTTTTTTTGCAAATTATTCGCGATAGATGGAGATGTGCAGACAATGTATTGGTTTTGGAAATTTTTATATTGGTACAACTTGTAGAAAGACAATGGTCAAGATGCAAACTTTTGAAAGAAGCGTTTTTGAAAAAAAAGTATCAACTTACCAGCTTCTATCAATCCTCTATTTTTGTAGGTTTCAGCTTTTATCTTGCACATGAGTTTTTTGATGCCCTTCCAATCCACAAGTTTCAGGTAAAACCACCAGTCCCTGTACTGTATTGTTAATTAGCACAGATTCTGTGTTAATGTTTGTGATGTCCTTTCAACTTCCTTTTAAACATTAGTTCACATAACTTCCAATTTGTCTCCTTCAGCCAGCTGTGGAATATACATTTTAGTTCTATTAACCAGAGCATGGAGGCTGGATTTCTTGGGGTGGCAGAGTATATACAGTGCTATTCTTGTACGGGGATAAATTAAAAGAATGTAGTTTACTTACTCCTGAATCAGTTGTGTGTAATTAGATTTTTGTTACATTTAGTGTCCTTTATTTCTAATCAAATGTAAGGGATATCTGTACTGTAAACTGTATTCATGGAAAGAATAAGTTGAAATGTTGCAAGGTCTTTTGTAGTATCTGCTTCACAACATCAGACTGATATATATTGAGTAAACCAGCACATTCATGGTGAAGCACATTCATCCTCATCCTTGTCTTCAAATCCCACCACTCCCCTACCTCTCTGACCTCCTTTCTCCTTACAACAGTGCCGTTGCCTTAGCTCCACCGGGTCTGGCTTCCTCCTTGTCCCCCGAATTCTCCGCTCCACCATCGGCGGCCGTGCCTTCAACCACTATGCCCCGAGGCTCTGGAACTCCCTTCCTCACTCCCTTCGCCTCGCCCCCTCCCTTCCTATTTTCAGGTCTCGGCTGAAGACCTTTCGTTTCGACCGCGTCTTTGGTCACCTGCTTCCCCCTCCCCCTGGCTCAGCCCCGGGATCCATCACTGCGACGCGCTCTGAGATGCCATCCGGCGTGGAGGGCGCTATATAAATCCAAGCTGTTGTTGTTATTGTTGAAGGTAGAGAGGTGTTCTCCAGTTTAAAATTTTAGTTGTCCCAAAGGGGGATATTGCTTTCAAAATGAGTTGCATTGTGCTCAAAAGAGACCCCATGCCTTCCTTTTTCACATTTTTGTCACTTGAAATGTTACCTCTAAGTAAGATGGTCATGTAGAACAACTAAAGGATTTAGCCAAATTTCTCACTGATGAACAGTTTATATCTTGTAGCCAAGGTGGTACAGCAGGGATAGTTTAATAATGGCTGTGGAAACATGGATGTGTGCTGGCCATTTCCCAATGTCTGACCCCACCAGCCTCAATCAAAGCAAGGTTTTCTGTTGGAGGCACAAATTGTGATCCAAATCGTATCTTATTTACCAACTTTGTAATAAGTTACAAAGTGGAATTTTTAGAAGTTTGGCATCCTATATTTAGGGAATGGTGCACGATAGGAAAAATAAGATTTTTTTTTCCCGGATAAAACCAAAGGCCATGTAAAATCCTTGCATTTGATCTACTCGCCTGCACTAAACTCTATATTCCCATCACACCAGTTCTAGTCAGGCTCCACTGGCTCCCTATATGGCCAAATGGATCAATTTCAAGATCCTCACACTCGATTTCAAATCCCTTCATGCCCTGGCACCTCCCTACCTCTCCGACCTGCTTGCCTCCCAAACCACTACCTGCTACCTCTGCTCAACGGGCTACAGCCTTCTGCATGTCCCTTGTTTCCTCCTTTCCACCGTCGGTGGCCGCACTTTCAGCCACTTTTTCCCTGAAACTCTGGAACACTCTTCCTCGATCCCTCCGTCTTGTCCTCTCCTTCCCCCATCTTCAGGTCACGCCTGAAGACCTTCCTCTTCGACCATGCCTCAGGTCACCTCCCCCCAACTTGGGGTCGTACTCCGACACTGTCAAGTGCTCTGGGACGATAGTCTATGTGAGGGGCGCTATATAAATGTCTGTAAAATATATATATATGTACACATCAGGAGGGTGTCTCAAAGCACTTCACAATGTTTACCATAAAATGTAGTATATTTTGTAGGCGAACGGGAAAGCCAATTTGTGAACAGCTGTGAAGTGAATGATCATTTTTATTTGGGGGGCTGTTGTCCACTAGCAAAAACTTTTCTCTTTTCAAACAGAGCTAAGGGATATTTAACACCACCCGGACAGACAGATGGGACCTGGGTAAAATAGGAAGAGATGCATAATTAACATAGCACATTTACCTCTTGTTTGGATGGATATTTTATCGTAAAGCAATTACTTTTTGAAGCACTTGCAGCCCAATGGGGCAAAAAGTTTCTAGACAAATAACACTAGAAATCAATAGAAACAGTTCTAAGGTATAATAAAATGACAACTATGATTTTTAAACTATGGATATTGAGATTTTGTTTGTACAAAGTAATTGGTTTATTTACAGAGGACCCAGAAGGGATGGCGTGAGTTGCTGATTGATGTTGAACCTAAGGTACCAAACAAGTTGCGGTTTGTTCTAGCACCTTCTGCCACACTGGCTTCAAAAACGTTGATTCAGGTAAAGTAGGTGGAAAAAATTATTGAACCATTATATGTACCATGTGTTTGTTTTCTTTAAGAAAATTAAGTGTCCTTTTGATTGTTCTTTAAAGATTGTTCCTTTATAAAATGAGCTTTGTATTTCATCACATGGAATAGATGTGTGAAGTAACGTGGCGGGGAGTGTAGAAAGGACATTGAAGGAAGAGAGCGGAAATCAAGCTGTGCTATTGTGGGTCATTTACCAGCAGATTGTAGCTCAGTGGTTAGAGCACTCACCTTGCCAAACGAGACACCTCGGTTCAATTCCAGTCAGGGCGAAATTTTGGGCAAATTTCCTTACTCCACACACCTAATAATAATCCCTCCAAAACAAAAAAACAATAATAAATTGGTCATTTTCAATCAACGACTGTTTGTGGGACACTGCTGTGCGCAATTGGCTTCCGCGTTTCACCCACAAATATACAGTCAATTCACTTTACAGCATATTCTGTGAAGCGCTTTGAGACGTCTATATCAAATGCAAGGAGTATTATTATCATAGACATGATAGCGCCATTGGAAGAGATGTGGGAACAGACTACCAAGCCCTCTTAGTTCAGAATGAATGTAGTGTTTGAAAGGGAAAAATCTATTTGGAGAAGAAATTAATTGAGGGTTATAATAGATAGTGGAATAGGATTTTTGATTACTTTAGGATGGTAGACTGAAATAGTGTTTTCCGCTCCAATATATTCCAATGTAAATTATGTGTGAGGGAAGAGGAAGGGAAGAGTTATAGGTAAGGATTCAATTCTTTGAGACCTTATCATGTGCCAAATGTGCCATATGTTAATGCAAGTTGTTGTGACTGTTTATCAATAGAATTTGCAATTTGTTTGAAGAATGTGTAGATGTGAAAGCTTTGAGAGCTACAGTGGTACATTTGCACTGTAAAACAAAAAGCTTTTTCAACGAACACTGGAATATGAGCTGTTTTAAAAAAAATACATTGTGTATTTCTTTCATGTTATAAAATCTAATCTTTTGAAATTTATAGAAATTACATAAAAATGGTTCTGTCAAATCTCTACAACACTTTAGGGGACAGTGGCAAGCTACAACAACAACAAGTTACATTTGTTTAGCGCTTTTCACATCGGGAGGACGATCATCAAAAAATAATAATAATCCTTGCTTTTGATATAGCACTTTTCACGTCTTCTAGGCGTCTCAAAGCGCTTCACAGAATATGCTGTAAGGTGAATTGACTGTATATTTGTGGGTGAAACACGGCAGCCAATTGCGCACAGCAGTAACCCACAAACAGTCGTGGATTGAAAATGACCAATTTTTTTTGTTTTGGAGGGATTATTATTAGGCGTATGGAAACTTTGCCCAAGGTTTCGCCCTGCCTGGAATTGACTCCAGGCGTCTCACTTGCAAGGCGAGTGCTCTAAATGTTGTTCATCCTTCTCAATTTTTTTTAAAAAAAATTCCAATATAGAAGTTTAGGGTAGGAATTTATCAAAGCGTCAGCCAGAGCAAAGAAGAACATAACAGTGGTTTGATAATAGAATCTTATGCACTTTAGGAGCTGAACAAACATTTTCCACATTTGTTCCATGATTCTGTATGAAAAATAATCCTTCTTAACCCGCAGAGAGATGAAGAAAGGGACCACGTAGAGATTTGTGCTGAGGCTGGGGTTATCATCCAAAGACTGGCCAGCCGAATCACTGAAGATGGGGGAGCAGCGCTGATAGCTGATTATGGACACAATGGAACAAAGACAGACACCTTCCGAGTACGTTTAACAAAGTGTGATTGTAAGAAGCCATTAGCATTCATAGGTATCCCACCACTTCTGACTATTTCCAGGGTTCAGTATTGTATAAAAAGGCATGTGAAACTTTAGATGTCTGGAATATATCACCTGTTATAATAATAATAATAATCCTTGCATTTGATATAGCACTTTTCACATCGGGAGGACGTCCCAAAGCGCTTCACAGAACATACTGTAAGGTGAATTGACTGTATATTTGTGGGCGAACACGGCAGCCAATTGCGTACAGCAGTATCCCACAAACAGTCGTGGATTGAAAATGACCAATTTTTTTTTTGTTTTGGAGGGATTATTATTAGGCGTATGGAAACTTTGTCCAAGGTTTCGCCCTGCCTGGAATTGAATCCAGGTGTCTCACTTGCAAGGCAAGTGCTCTAACCACTGAGCTACAGGCCTCCACGTTCAACCTCGTGTGCTATTATGTTTCATATTCTAATATGATTTGCTTTATATGTTTTCTGTTTTTGTTATCAATATAATAGTGCTTTTTAATTGTTTTTTGGAAGGAGGGCAGAATATACTGGAGTGGAAAACACTACTTCAGTCCACCTGGCCCTCTATCCTAAAGTAAACAAAAATCCTATTCCACTATCTATTATACCCCTTATTTCATTTACTTTCCAAATAGATATCTCCCTTTTGAACACCGCATTAATAAATAATATAATCAATTAATAACATTATTGTTCTGCATTAAACCATGATCCACGACTGTTTGTGGGACACTGCTGTGCGCAATTGGCTGTCGCATTTCGCCCACAAATATAGTCAATTCACTTTACAGTATATTCTGTGAAGTGCTTTGACACGTCTAGAAGACGTGAAAAGTGCTATATCAAATGCAAGGATTATTATTATTAATATTATCCAAACAGTGCAGTACATAGACCTGATGTAGATGTTGTAAATGCCATAGTAATAAGCCGACATCTCTGAGTGAGCCTCAGTGCATTCAGTTTATATTTTTTCAATTGTTCTATATGCCAGCTTCCCTTGGGTAAATCATGGCAAAATTATTAATATTTTTGCTGTTGTATCTTCGTCATCAGAAATCTTCTAAAGCAAGATTTGAACAAGGAATTTTAAACATATAATATTGTACCTACCTATATATGCCAAGTCAAATCATTGGTTAATTAACTTAATTATCCTCTTTAAAAAAAGCTTTTCCTATTTTCCCCTCCCTCTCTCCAGTAAGCATTTTCCCCGTTTCTCCCTGAAGATTCTGACTTGTGTTTGAGCACTGTTCTATCAGGAGAGGAAACTGGGAAGAAAATGTAGGAGAGAAAAATGTTCCACTTGAAACTGACCTGTTAATTGACCTTGGCATGGTATTGTGCATATCACCCTTCGGTATCTTGCTCAAGTGGCCAGTTGTTTTGGTCAGTTGGATGTCTGCCACATGCAGAAACCCATCACCATGCTTGAGTATCCAAACCAAACTGAGAATTCCATACATCCACCGACACATGGAAATTCACTTGTATTGGGATGGTGTTCTGTTATGAATTCGGATAGTAAACGTTAGCAGAGTGTATAACTGTGGGTGATATCACAACTAATGTAGCTTCTCTTGTCCGGCATTCTCACATGAGGATTTTTCATTGGGAATCATTTAGTAACAATCAGGCTAAGTTTTCCCCTCCTAAGTCCATGCATGTCTGGTGCAATTTCATGTTAAATAGTGGCCTTATTGATTGTGACCAATTATTTGATTTGGTTAATTAGCACATCCTTAATCATTAATAGATCATCATAAAATTGTAGAGCTTCAGTATAAATAACTGAAATACTGCAGCAGAATTTTAATTTAAAAAATAAGTCAAATGGATATTTCAAGTGAAGGATAAATAGCAATTCAGCCTCCTTTGTACATGCAGACTGTTGAACTGTTGATCCCCTTTTAATAGCAGAATGTTTCATAAACACAGTGAACCCCCAGGCTAGTTGTAAACAATCTTTTCAACAGTCATTCAACAGCTATTTCACTCATAAACATTTTCCAAACAGGCTTTTTTTAAAAAAGAAACATGACCTACTTTTGATGCCAAGGACTGTCTCAGTTCAAACTGAGAAGACAGTAATTTCATTTCAGTCTCTAAAGGAGTTAATCCTTAGAACCAGAGAAAAGAACACTGGTAAAATAAGTATTTCAATGCAAGGCATTATTATTATTTTAGTACCAAACAAGATGATCTTTTGAATATGGTAAAAATTAAATCATGAATAGCAATAACTAATCTTCCCAAGTTTTATTTTAATATACATTAAGAATCATTGTGTGGCTTTAAAAGGTCTGTTGACATTTGGCCTTTTGGAATTGTCTGTCTTAATTTTCATAATATGACTGACATGAATTGGAAATCCTAATGTCAAGAGACCTCTTGGAAGTTATGTGTTGGCCTTTGTATATATGCTGTGGACATCAACATGATGTGATATGACGTAAGTTGTTTTCTACACAATTTCTTGTACACTGATGCTGATTCAATGCCACATTGCGTTTGAAAAATATTTGGAATGGAGCTTTCTAGGTGAAGTTTGCAGCCATAAACTAGTTAACTGTTGTAACATAAACATAAAAATAAATTGTTGTTTAGACTGCTTACATTAAGGACCGCGCCTCAGAGAGTGTTATTGATGTTTGAATGCTGCTGTATTTCTGGATGTTTGAGAAAAAACTTGCAAAATGTTTTGTAATGCCGCCACACCTCAGGGGCTGATAGTATCACCATCAATGGATGCACACTCCACCTTACTAAGCCAGTCCAGAACCTTGGCATCTTGTTTGACCGTCAACTATCCTTTCTACCCCACATCCGTCCCATGACCTGCTCTGCCTTCCCCCAACTCCGCAAGATCGCCCGGCTCCACCGCTGTCCCACACCGCAGGCCACCGAAACACTCAGACATGCATTCATAACATCGAGTTGACTACACAAACTCTCTGCCTGTTGGCCTCCCCAACTTCTCCCTCCATAGGCTGCAGATCATCCAGAACTTTGCAGCCCGTGTCCTCTCCCGTACCAAGCTCTGTGACCCTATCACTCCCATCCTCACCCGACTCTCCTGGCTTCCCATCACACAGATCCTGGTCCTCATCTTCAAAGCCCTCCATGACCTTACTCCACCCTACCTCTGTGACCTCCTAACCCCCTACCATCCTGCCTACTCCCTCCGTTCAGCGGGCTCCGGCCAGCCTCGCTCACCCCACCGTTGGCAGGTGGGTCTTCTGCCGTTATTCTTACCTATAGGGCCAGCTGTGGGTTGTTGCGTAGGAGTGGGGGAAGGGGGTCCTTCTTGTGATAAAGTGCTTGGCCTCTTGTTAATGCCCACAGAGGAATGAGTGAGATGTGTAGGTCATATAGGGGAATTGTGGGTACAGAACATGCTGAATATTTTTGTGATGCAGGGTGTTTGGAGTTATTCTGAGAGCAACACTTAGGCAAAGTAAAGGTTTTAATTTGAAAAAAAAGTTATTAGTAGGAGGGATAAACAGAATGAGTCATCTTCTGTGTCCTCGTTGCACTTTTTGGAGGTGTCATCAAAAGGGGCATTTTAGAGGCATAGGAGAAGACTCTGATAGGGAATTGTATATTGTGTGAGCAAACAATATGAAGTTTAGAAACACAATTTAAAAATAGAGACAATAAATTTTTTTTAATGATTTAGTTTCTGAAATGGACATTGATAATGTGTCACTCACAATTTTAAAAGATTAATGAGATGGTATATTCACTGTTATTCAATGCCACCATGTCTGAGCTGAATTTGTGTTGCTATTTTTGATTAGGGATAATTTATATATTTACCTGCGTCAACCATAAGCCATTTTTTAACTGGCCATCTTTTCAGCAAATAGTAATTTAGACACTGATTAGCAAAGCCCAACTTGTACTCTAGACTTGGTTACAACTGAACACTAACTGCTTTACAGTTTGCTTATTAAAGAGGAGCATGCATGTTCTGAAGTTGGTAGCATTATTCAACAAACTTTAATATTCATGGTAACTTCTAACCTTTTACTTCATGTAGAGTTTCCGTGGCCATAAGCTCCACGATGTCCTGACGGCACCGGGAACCGCAGACTTGACGGCAGATGTTGATTTCAGTTATTTTAAAAGAATGGTGGAGAGCAAGGTGGCCTCTTTGGGACCAATTGCACAGCAGCAATTTCTGAAGAACATGGGTATTGATGTGAGACTTCAGGTAGGATATTTACAGCTGTTGTGTACTGTTGCCTAATATGCAGTTACATTTGTAATTATTTTGATGGTATTTATGTCTGAAAATCCTGTCTCCCCATTTGCTGGGCATTTGCAGTACAGCTCATGTTACATTTTCAAGTATAGTTTGTAGTAGTTGTATGCTTTTCTTACTAAATTGTTTTCTTTATCCTCATCAATCTAATGCTAGATTTAGTTTGTGGACTACTTTAATAAAAAATCTTTATACTTTGCTTTACATGATAAATACTATCATTTTTGAAAAGTGCAGCATAAATCTGGTTGAACAGTTGGATCACATTGGAAATCCATTTTCACGATCACCATGAGGTTTCAGAAGTGCTTTTATTCACACTGCAAATTTCATAGAATTGTAAAATCAGTTCTCCTAGATCATTTCCAAATGTGAAGGAATCTATATAAACATAATTTGTTGTTGAGGCATGTGGAGTGGACATGATGAACCTAGTTAGACGATGCCTTTCATGTAGCTTGAAGCATTTTAAAGGTTCTAATTCCATAATTATTTTCAGATTTACTTATCTTAATGAACATAATTCTGGGCTTTGAGATTTGTGGGATTAGCGAAAATAATTTGCCTTTTATCAGAGAATGAGTGGGATCAGATTTTGGTACAAAATGCTGCCATAGCAAATCTTTTGCTAATGTATCTTTTAGCCGGTACCGTTAGAAAACTGTCACTGCAACATTGCAACTGCTGTGCGCAGTTGGCTGCTGCGTTTTGCTCACAAATATACAGTCAATTCACTTTACGGTATATTTTGTGAAGCACTTTGAGACGTCTAGAAGATGTGAAAAGCGTTATATCAAATGCAAGGATTATTTATTCTGGCAAGCCTTTGTTCCATTTTTCTCATATTTTCTGCCCTTGTGAAACCAGTCTAATATTAGGAGACAGTCTTATTTGATATAGGTGATGGAACTCAATGTTAGTTAGTTCAATCAGTAACCTAAGGGTGAATAACTTTTCTAAGATAGGTCAGTTGGATAATCAGAGACTGTGTCAAACCATTTTATCATAAAATACAATTAAAACCCCCAGTCATATGTCAGAGAATGGAAAAACACTCGTACCCTGGCGTGCTTACAGTTCCAGAACCATCTCCCTCATCAGGTTTTGTGAAATGTGTTAAATGAGAGAGGCATAGAAGGCTACCAGAGTGAGATGAAAAAAATGTTGTGCTAAACTAATTCCAGCATTCCTGGCTTCAATTTGTCAGTCAACAACAATAGGAAGTTTTTTTTGTAGTTAATTCATAAATCTTTTCAATTTAGTACTTTTACTTGGATTATCTCACTTATATGCCCTGTAGACTGAGGTATTACAATTGTTTTCAAACTGTGCCACTCCCAGCTGTTACATTTCTGTAGATTAAGAATAGAACATATAAGACCTTGGACCTCAACATTGTTATAGGAATTGAACTAAGCAAGATTTAAAACGATTTTTAAATTTAGTTCACGGTGCTCTATTGTAAGCAGTAATAAGGAGTCATGTAATACAATGTGGATTAGAAAAGATGTGAATAAGAATTTTAAATACACACAAATCCTGGTTGATAAATTGTTGCATAAACTGTAAAAGGAAAATGTAACAGACTGTTGATGGATAAAAGCTCCAATTGCAGCTTATCAGCACTACACAACTCCCTCAGGCTCTGGAACCATTACCAGGGCTCTACTGGATTTTTAATAAAGACTGTCGTTTACCATTGGATCATCTTATGGACAGAATAATAAAAGATGAAGATGCAGCTTTTATATCTGTTAAAATTCAAACTTACACTCTCTGTTTGACAATTTTTTTTCTACTTTCCCATTGGGTTTAGGACATCCTCCCGACGTGAAAGGCGCTCTATAAATGTAATTTTGTTGTTGTTGGGTTCCTCAGCATCATTCATGGCAAGAGGGCCTAACATAAGCTGCTTCTTGGCCCTTGGCAAGGCAGTTCCTAACAGCTGTTTTCTGTAGCTTAGTGGTTAGAGCACTCGCCTCGCAAGCAAGAGGACCTAGGTTTGATTCCCAGGCAGGGTGAAACGTTGGGCAAGTTTCCTTGCTCCCCATGCCTCTGTTTACTTTCCAGTAAGTAGGAACCCAGTTATGAGTCAATTGGCGGATCACTTTTCTGGAGGTAGTAATCCCTTCAAAAACATTTTTTTTTAAATAATAATTTGGTCATTGATCCATGACTGTTTGTGGGACACTGCTGTGCTCAATTGGCTGCTGCATTTCACTCGCAAAATATCCAGTGAATTCCATTCACAGTATAAAAAACAGAAGTTGCTGGGAACACTCAGCAGGTGAGACAGCATCTATGGAGAAAGGAAAGTGAGTTAACCTTTCGGGTCTTCGACCCTTCATCAGAACTCAACAGTACAGCATATTTTACAGTATATCCTGTGAAGTGCTTTGAGACATCTTGAAGACGTTATAAGGTGCTATATCAAATGCAAGGATTATTATTACTTTCTGATCCGAATGCACAAGAGCTGCCTATCTATATCTGACTCAACAACAGCAAATTGCATTTATATAGCGTCCCAAAGGTTTGTACCATTGCCAATGAGCCAGGCTGGCTGGTTTGCAGGGGGCTTCCTAGGAGATGTATTTTATTTTTTGACGCAGACTGCTGTCCCGATCCAGAAAACATCTAATGGCTCAAAGAATCTGCTTGGTGGACTTTTTCTTTAATCAAGTAGTGCCCTTGAGTACTGTAGACCCAACTGCCTCAGAAACTGGACTACTGGGACCGCCAGAGGGCTGACCCATTGCCAAACACGTTACCTCCAGAGACCCTGCATACCTCCTCCCAAGGATGTTTTATCCACTACAAACCTGAAATGGCTCTCAAAAGTGGCATAAGTGGGTTTCCTGCTATTCCTTTTAGGTGTAGGTTGAAAGATGGTACAGAAAATCATACAGAACTGGTCACTTTTGCATAGTTCTATTGCTGATAGAAAATAGACATTCTGTGCAGTAGCTAATGTTTAAGGGTTCTGTGAATGAATACAAAGTTATTTCTACTTTGCAACAGTAATCAACAGCTATATCCAACAGTCATAGTTAAGGTGGATAACATCTATGTGTAGATTTTGTGTTGTCTCAAGGAATTTGATTTAATTAAATCCACAAGATTGTCAACAACCACTTTTTTTCCTTTCTGCTACCTCAGGTACTCCTGAGAAACTCAAATAATCCAATTACACAAAAGCAACTGCTGGATGGATATGACATGATTATGAACCCTGAAAGAATGGGAGAACGGTTCCAGTTTTTTGCTCTATTGCCTCACTCGAGACTCTTAACTTCAGTACGAGGCAAGAGGACAGAGAGACCTGTGCCAACAGCACCACCTGTGGCAGGGTTCAGCGAACTGCAATTCTGAGAAGGCAGTTTTGGAACTAAATTCACTTCATTGCCTATATACTCATTGGAGTGAAACAAACCTGCAAGTTTGAGGTGAAGTGGGTGATAACTATTGTGATCAAGTTTAGGATTCTTCACATTTGTCGTGAAGTAAGTGCATGTGCCCGATCAGAACACAAAATTGCTAATAGTTTTTTTGAATATGTGCACCTCTTACATTTCCACTTTGTTTTTTTCTTTTTTCCTCATCTCTCTGCCTCAAAATATTTCTCTTTTCTCCTTTGCGAGGCTTTTCACCCAAAGGTCAATGATGTTTCCTCTCTCTTTTGACATTAAAAACTATTGTGGAATAAAAAACATAGACCACACAAATAATGAACAGTAATCAGTACAGGTTTTATTACGAGCTTTATTACAAGCTTACCGGTAAGGGGAAGCACCCAATCAGGTTCCCAAGTCACCCGAGATGGTACTTCCAAAGAATGTATAAAAACAAATTCTTTTTCTTAACAGATTATGTGGCATTTTACAACCAATGATTATTTCTTACCATGACCCGTGACAATTCTGCAGCATTTTCACATCCAATCATAGCAATTGAAAGTTTTCCTTTGTCTGCTATAATTTCACATACTCATATCAGAGTCATGTGATCTTACCTGACCCTGAAGAGTGGTACCATCTGGTTTTAACAATCATCTCTTCTAGTCTGGAAAAGGGTTGGAATGTCTAAGTCTTTGTGTACAGACATTGAGTAAGACCACTGTATAAGGCTATGTGGCAACACTGTGCACGTGCTTCAGTTATCTATCACGTGAACCAACCATGCACGTTGTCAGGGTCGTATAACCTCTGTAGGCTGATGGTACTTTTAATGTCACCTTCCACAAAAGCCAGACTTCTCAGTGCAGTGTTTTCCTTGTATAGCACTTTGCTCCTCTATTTTTACCACCATCTTTCAATCCAAAGGAAGCAAATAACTTTAACCCATTGGTAATCATTTGAACAAATAAAAGCATAGCTTTTAAAGCTAAGTCAGAATGGACAGATATGACATATTAAATTACATACACACAATATTTTGAACAAGATCTTTCTCCCACAACACATTAGATGCAATTTGAAGCTCGCCTTCACAGTTGCAACAATGTACTTTGTTTCACCATTTGCTAAGAGAAGCAAGCACCTCCTCATGTCCAGTTTCCACTTTATCAATCTACTTGGGTTCATTGAGTGAGATTGCCCAATGTCATGTAGGCTCCGGCCTGTTCCACGTCCCCCGACCCACGCCTTTGGGGGGAGAGCCTTCAGCCACTCTGCCCCTAACTTCTGGAATTCCATCCCCCAATCACTCCGCCTCGCCCACTCTTTAGCCTCCTTCAAGTCCCGCCTCAAAACCCTCCTCTTTGACCATGTCACCCCCCTTCCCCTCCCCTCCCTTCTTCCCCCCACTACCCCAGCTCGGGTCTGAAATACTGTACACTGTCCAGTGCCTTGGGATGTCCTCCCAACGTGAATGGCGCTATACAAATGTAATAACAACAACTTGGATTTATATAGAGCCCTCCACGCCGGACGGCGTCTCAGAGCGCTTCACAGTAATGGATCCTGGGGCCGAACCGAGGGGAGGGAAGGTGATCAAAGATGCGGTCGAAAAGAAAGGTCTTCAGCCGAGACCTGAAAATAGGAAGAGAGGGGGCAAAACAAAGGGAGTGAGGAAGGGAGTTCCAGAGCCTCGGGGCATAGTGGCTGAAGGCACAGCCGCAGAGGGTGGAGCGGAGGACTCAGGGGACAAGGAAGAGACCAGAACCGGTGGAACGAAGGCAACGGGCACCGTTGTGAGCAGAGAGGTCAGAGAGGAGGTTAGGTAATCTTGTTGTTGTAGTACCAAATAGTGGTCTGTTATGGACCAATGTACTCTGTCTCCTGGATTGAGGCTGCCCGAACACCTTTCACTTACAGCAGCTTTTTAGACATAAGCCTTTATCGCATATGCTTGAGTAGCATTCAAATCGAGCAGCAGGCTGTTTTTCTATCTCAGTGCATTACTTAGCCATTACCAGCCAGATGTCATTCCCAAGGGTACGTTTAAAGTGCATGTGTTTCTAAATTCTAGAGAAAAATGTTTGGTTTGTGTTTTGTTGTAAAAATATTTCCATGCCACATAGTAAATATCTGTATCCTGGGCATTGACAGCACTGCATGATGCACACTTGTAATTATGACAATAAAATTGATACAGCTTGAAAATCCACTTTAGAGTTTTATTGAACTAAGTACTAAAATATACAAAAACACTTTTCTACAAGACTCCTGCCAAGCCAGTGGCAACACTGAAGATGTAACAATTCTCAGGAACAGCCTGTGAATATTTGACTAACAGTTATAAACTGGTCCTTTATTGTGCTGTTGTTTAAAAGTCTATGGATCCTCAATTTTCATCATATTTCACAACAAGTATGGACGACAGCAACTACACTGACCAGGTAAAGTGCAGTGTAAAGACACTGGAGAGCCCTTATTTAAACCACCCCCAGTATCTTGAGACTATGCAGCACAGAGCTGTGTATTTGAAAAGAAAACAACCATTGAATTATTTATCACACAGAAGCAAAACACACAAAACGCAACAAATACTTTAGGACAAGCTAATGCAGAAAAAAAATGAAACAAAATACATTAGTTTTGCCTTCCATTATTCAACCATTGAACTGCAATTTGTTTTTTCGAGAAGGTTAATAAAACAAAGGCTTGTAGTTATGTTCTGCTCTATAATCTGTACCAGAGTCCATGTATGGATCACGAATAAACATGACAGATACATATCTCAAGCCATGCTGGAAGCATGATTGCTTTTACTGATATGATTTGCTTTAAATCTTTTACCCCTCTGGTGTATTCTCGTGAATTTTGCAGTCAGTTGCACAATACATTGTATCTACATTCCTTTTTTTGTGCATAGGATGAGCCAAGGATGATCCTCAAATGTTCCAAGCACAGTGTTCACACAAAAAAGCCAAATTGTTATTCAAGACCAACTTAAGTGTAGAAAATGTTTCACCAGAATCAGTATCGAAGGCACACATCAATCCATTATTGATTTAATTCTGTATTCCTTCAAAAAAAATCTAAAATTTGAACAGGGTCCTTTAACAGAGCTGTTTAATAACTGTAGGGAGATGAATATTACACTTAAAATGGTGTACTATTCTTTCATTATTGTGCTGATCATCCCATCCTACTTTAAGTATGTGGTGCTTCAGAGAAATCGGAACATGTGCATCAAGATTGGAAGCAGCTTTTGGTCATGTAATTAGGAATGCAGAACTGAAACCCACTGAGTTCAATAGACTGAGAAATAGTCACCATGGAGCAAACATACAAGATTAACAGACCAACTCTAACATTCAGCATGTCTTGAGGAAAATAACATGAAAACAGAATGGGGAACCTATCATGTTGGTTATGGAATGCAAATACTGTACTTTTGATTGTGACCAACATTAGCAACCATGCAGCTTTGAGTTTAAGGTATTTCCCTAAATCAAGATAAGTACAGTAGAGGAAGAGAACTCACTGTAATTTCACATTCTTTCCTCAAGCAGAAATGTGATGAGTTTAATAGCTTTTGTTATGGTTGCTTGGCCCCAGTTAATACAACTATCATCGGGCAGAAAATGAAAGATTGTATTCACACACTGAGCAGAATTTATACAATACGGTTTGACTGTTAAAAAATGATATACACTTTTCCATTACACTCAACTCAAGTTTGTTTTTCATCCAACTATACAAGACCACAATCCAGATATTGGTACATTGGGACATCCCTAATCATACAACAATACTGTGGTAATCTTAGTTTCTGATGATATTTTGAATCTTCAAAACAGACTCTAAATATCTTTCCTTTGCCAAAATTGCACTTAAAATCAAAGCAAAGAAAACAAGCTTCAACACATAAAAATTACAAATGCAAAGCTGTTTAAGATGTGTGTGTGTTGGTACATACATTATTCCACTCCTTACATTATCTTCCAGTCTGGAGTGCATAGTTTAATTTGTCCGACAATACTCAATTGCAAATAATACATCACAGACTCAACTCGTATTAAACACTGTTATGTAGAAGCAAGACAGTCTAAAACTAAAGCAATAAAATGATTTCTTCATCCCCACTTGAAACTCTAGTTGTTGAGCTTCATAGGCAGCAAATTGCAAACAAAAATATCCAAAAAGAACAAAGGAGCAAAGTTAATTTCTCAGGCATCCATCTCTTCCTAGCTAGTGTGTTTAAATCTTGTGAACCACGTTACATCAGCAGGCACACTATTCCAATAGCAAAACAGCCCAAAACAAGCAATGCTTAAAATGTAGAAGTCCTGTGCTTTTGTGCAATACCCAGACATATGGGTTAGGAAATGTTTACAGTGTTTAAAATGCTTGCTTGGAGGGGGGGGAGAGAGGAGGGGCCATGGGATAGCTTAATCTGCATTCACTGTTCTACCTTTCCGATATTCAATTACACCAATGCTTCAAAATCACACCAACAAATACTACAGGAAATATTCCATCTTCCTGAGTCACACAAACAGAACTCTTTCCTTTTATACCCACTATTACAATAACAGAACTGCAGCATTTACAGCAATTATTTTGAATGATTTTCGAAGCTGGTTCATCCAGAGGGACTAGAAGGGAGACCGCAAGAGAGTGAACACTTTTTCAACTGCAAATTAGGCTGGCTGAAAAGACTGAAGTAGGAGAATCACACAATAGGTTGTGTTGGCACATAAATGTGTCCAAGCAATAATATTCGCAAACTAGATTTGTTGTGTTATTTGCAAAGTTCAGTGTCTGTAAATCGCAAATTGGCAAAGTCTGATTAAAAAGTCTGTGAGCAAAACCCTGGCACGAAAAGTTCCATCAATTTTGCTCTCTGGATTTTGATGATTTAGAACTTGAAGACTTGGGACTTACAATTTGCTGCCCACAATTTTTTTAAAAAAAATCAGGCATTGTAATTGGAACAAATCCGATTTGTGAATATTGCAAATTAAATATCGATCTCCTCAAAGTGGCATGTCATCTGAATTAAATCAAATGCTTTAGAATTTGATTTCAAATCGAAAGAATTTATTCCACTTTCTTTCAGTCTTGGCTGGACCAAATGTGATGTAAAACGCATTAAAAGCACCATCTACTTGTATGATGACACTGATCTCTTTCAGAAGTCTCTGTCTCCCCTACAAAAAAAAGGCCAATGCATTTTTTAAATGAAAACTATTTAAATGTACCAAGTTAGAAATTATTACCAACAACATGGTATTCTGGAATGCATTTCGGAGAGAAATAGGTCACAAATAAAACTATTTAACTATATTTTAGTTAGTCAATGTATTTTTGGAATGTGCTCAAGATTCATCCAGTTAAATTCTAACGGAAATAAAAAGCATAATGTAGCAGAGAATTCATATCATGCAACACTTTCAAACACTATTTTGTTATAAAAGACTTCATCGAGTGGAGAGACACAGAATTCTGAAAAATATTCATTGTACCATCCAAGGACTGTCCAGCACCTTGGGACGTCCTCCCGACGTGAAAGGCGCTATACAAATGTAATTTTGTATTGTATTGTACAAAATCATTAACAGCTAAGAGCCGCCTGCTTCATGCCCCCCACCCAATCCACTCCACTGTGGACAGGTGAGCCTTCAGCCATTCTGTCCCTGCTCTCTGAACTCCATCCCGGAGCCCTCTGTCTCGCCCCAACCCTCCACCTTTAAAATCTGCCCTAAGACCTATCCTTTCCACTGTACTTTTGGTCTTCTCCCCACTCCCCCAGTACCTAGTCAGCAGTGTGAAGCATTTTGAGGCATCCTCTCGATATGAAAGGCGATATAAATGTAAATTGATGCGTCCATACAGACACACAGATATCTGGAATGCTTTTTTTTAAAAATCATTGGTATTTAAACACTTAATCTTTCAATCATCATATTTCTATAAAAATCACATAAAACCCACAAGTACTTTCTCTTATTTGTAAATCGTCTCCTATTCTTGTGCTGTCTGACTTTGGCATCTCTCGAAGGACAGGCACCTGGCCCACTCTCAGACATACTGATACCCCAGGTCTCGCTGCCAGGAGCCATCTAGAAACTCCCAGTTATGATTTTATCCTGAAAATGTTTTTCAAACTCCCCTTAGTGAGAGATGATCCAGTCTGTATTTTTCACTTTCCAATTGGACATAGCTTGGTTAATAATAAGCGGATATCACATGTATATTTGGTACTAAGTGTTCATGCTCTAAAGAATCAGTTAAATCAGATCACAGTAGAAAGGTGCATTAGATGTCAAAAATTGATTTGTACTATTTGGGAATGGTCCATTTCCTATAATGCATTACCTTCAGCTAAAGTATACAATTAAAGTGATCCTTCATTACCAGAGTCTTGTGATGGATGAAAGAAAATTGACGTGCAAATGTTAAATATGCAGTAATACATTTTGCAGGATTGTAATTTCAGTAGAACCTGTATACTCAGTCACAATGTCATCCATCTTTTCCCTGTAATTTGTCCTCCTGACTTCAGTACAGCATCTCTGGCACTGAATAATTTTGAGTGGCACTGTGGGATTTAAGATGCGCAGCTAATCTGCTCTTGCTTCTGTTTTACCCCGACCCAGACACATTAACTTGGGTGCTATGTTTGCAGTAAGAATGCACCCCTGTATTACACATTTTAAAAAATCTGTTGCTTTTACCAAAAATAGACCGTTTCTAGCCCCGTTTAAGGTTTTCCCCTGATGGATATCTTTTTGCAGATGACACATAGAAAATTTTCTGGTAGAAAAAAATACAACACGAAAACTGCATTGTTTTTCTCCAAAGGAAATTCAAGGATTTAGAAAAGTCACCCAAATTGTTGGACGGAATAGGGGCAGAGGGAAAGCGACCAGATTTGAAAATTAAACCAGATAGGAGATTATTTAATGTCAAATGGTCTCAAACATCATTAGAAAATGGGTTGATTGATATTTACATTGCAGTGCACAGGGAAAGGCCTGTAAGAGATAAAAATACTACCTTAAGAAGGAGATCTTTCACGTTATCCTTCAAAGTACGTAGTCTGTTTTGTGCAAGTTATGCAATTTCTCCTTTGTGAAAGCTTCTCATTCCTTCAGATGCGACTAGTATTTGAAAAGTGAGAATCCCTTCTACTGGCCTCAGCAGGGCTCAAGTTTGAACACAATAAAAATAATATATGCACAGCATACATTTTAACTAAATCTCACCTCATCAACGTACTCTAGTTCCATGGGGCCAAACCTTCCTGTGAACCCTAAAAGATTACTCAAAAACTGAGAACAGAATGGGAGTCTCTTTCTTCCCCCATCTCCCCCCACCCCCCCACTACCCCCTCCCCCCCACACACAGACACACACCCCTATCTCCAACTGGGCCAGAGTTTAGCTACACTTTATGCAAAAGATGGTGGAATTCTATTCAATTTTAGGGTGGAATGGTATCATAGATACTGTATGTCCTGGTGCAGTACTGCCAGCCTCTGCATACTCACTGCTATGTTGTTTGAGGAGTGGGGGTGGCCAAGCAACACGCACACAAGTCTTAGGCACGGAAATCTTGCTAACTGGCCTCCAACGGCTGCTCTATTTTCTATTGAATCAGAAGAATATTGAACACAGGAGTCTGTGTAAATTGGGCAAAAGTTAGAAGGTGGAGTTTGCACCAGCAGGTGTGCAGGTACAATATAAATGCGATTCTCACGTTGTTACTGACGTTGGCAACACATCTGGTCTTTTGGCCTTGACGCAAAGAGAAATTTCAATGCACACACAAAGTTGCAGCATAACCAGCAATATAATACCTGAACTTAGGAAATGAACTACAGTCCAACCATCTATCACAGCTCCCTTCATAGGTTATAGTTTACTTTTCTCCCCTGCCTTTACTCTGGAGCGAGAGGTTCTGCTTACATCTGGCTTCGGGCATGCAGTCATCCTTTTCCTGATCCTTTCAGTAGTCTATACTGAAATACACTATTTCACTTATCCTAAATAGAAGTTATTTACAATTTATTTCAAAAGGCAGCTTACTGACAACTACAATTGTGAGCACAAAGAGACCACTTGTTGGATAAACGCCGATGTGACCATGTTATATTCAGTCATCTGGAAAAAAAGACACACTATACTTTTTAAACTCACAAGCAGGAACAATTTGGTGATTCGATTTCAACGCCTTTCGAATCCAATCAACAAAATCTTTGAGAAGCCATTCTAACATATCAGAAAGTTAACACCAACTCACCACACAGCAGTTTTCTTCCTCCCTGACCAGGCCACAAAGCAGGACGTATGAAGAGAATCAAACACATATACATACAAAACTGGAAATTCACCCTGAAAACCCACAACCAAGTTTGAGCTTACAAATTTCTGCCAGAAAGAAACAAAGTCCTACTTAGAATTGAGTTTGGTCTGAGCACTAGCCCTTGTTCTAAGTGGACAGAATTTGTTCTCAGTAACTTTCCATCTCCTACATAGTTCTTCTACAAAATGAAAAATAGATTGCCTGATCTAGTTGTGCATTTAGTAAACATGCAAATGTATGGCTTGGTACACAGTAACTAATTACCAGAGAGGTACATGGATAGTATTAAACCAGCTAAATACTATAAAAGGAATGTTTGATTTAAAATCAGAAGCTCACAGCATTCGGTTTTCCTCTTTACCCACAAACACTGGTCACCAAGTCCACCCCTGCGTAGCTGACTCATGCTACAAGGTTGGCACTGCCACCACTTGCACCATTTACTTCCATTGTCCTATGGTCAGATGCGACAGGCTGAGCAGTATCCAATTGGCTTTGGCTGCGCTGTACAGCAAGCAGCAACAAGTCATGGCTTCCTTTTCCCCTTTGGAAATGTGTTTTTAACATCAGTGCCATCATATCATTCACTTGTGCTGTTTATGGGTCTTCCTCCATATCATCTAGATTGGGCGCCATGATGAAGTGCTTGGGGTACTGGAGCTTGTGTTCTGTAGCATGTTCTTCCCATCGGGCATCATCACTCTCATGAGTAATGTAACGCTCTCCTTTCCTGGTCTCAAACTCTCGAAGGTCCAACCACGTCTGGTAATCCTGTGAGCATAATGAGCAACTTTTAAATTATGTGCATTTTTATAGCACTTTATGCATAAAAAATCTCAAAGAACTTTACGATAATTATTGTCCGGTGCAACAACTAAACTTGGCAAACAATTTGCACACAACAACCATAAGATGAATGACTAATTTGCCAGCGTCCTGTGAGAATTTCCAAATAATGTCATAGGATCTTAATTTACAAATACCAACTTTTGGTGCCCACCTGAGAAGCAATCAGGACAAAGGTTTAACATTTTATCTGAAGGACAGCAGTTCCAACAATGCAAGCCCCACAGTACTGGAGTTTCAGCCTGGACATGACTCAAGGCCCGACCTGAGGCTTTAAACCCATGCAACTTACTGCAGTTGAATATCAACAAGACCGAGGCCCTCCTGCTTGGCTCCCGCCTATGCCTCCATACCTCAGACGCTGAAAGCATCTCCCTCCATGGATGAACTCCACATCTCATGGAGCCAATACGAAACTACGGCGTCCTGTTCGACCCTCAACTGTCCTTCCTACCCCACACCTGTGCCTCGATCTGCTCCATCTTTCCCCACCTCCGCAACATCGCTCAGCTCCGCCACTGTCTCACACCACAGGTTGTCGAGACCCTTATACACGCATTCATAACATCCAGGCTCGATTATGCAAACCCCCTGCTTGTGGCCTCCCCAACTCCTCCCTCCATAGGCTGCAGATCCTCTGTGTCCTCTCCCACACCAAGCTCTGTGGCCCCATCACCCCAATCCTCGCCCGACTCCACTGGCTTCCCATCACACAGATAATACAGTTCAAGATCCTGGTCCTCACTTTCAAGAACCTCCTTGGCCTTGCTCTCTTTTACCTCTGCAACCTCCTAACTCCCTACCAACTGTCCCGCCGCCTCCATTCAGTGGGCTCCGGCCTGCTTCCAGGTCCTCGTCTCGCCTTCAGCCACTGTGCCCCATCCTCTGGAACTCCATCCCGCAGTCCTTCGGCTTCACCCCCTCCCTTACCTCCTTCAAGACCCATCTCAAAACCATCCTCTTCGACCGTGCCTTCGGTCACCCTCCTTCCCCCCCTGCCCTCCATCCTCGCTGACCCCCAGCTCAGGTCCGAAACACTGATTGTCCAGCACCTTGATATGTCCACCCAACGTGAAAGGCGCTATACCCATGTAATTTTGCTGTAACCTTCTGACCTAGAGGCAAGAGTTCTAATAATTGAACCAATCTGAGACCTGATCTAATACAGGGAAAAGCAGGAAGAATATTAACACTTTCTAGTAAACAAAAATTTATTTAATGGGAATACGTTAGCATTGAAAAAATATTTCCTTTTTTCAGATGTCTGCAATGAGCAAGCAAGGTTATAGTCAAATGCTCACATTTAGTCCAAAACTTGATAGAATATTCAAGTGCATCCTCCAACTAATTCACTTTTAGAAGTAGCAATTTCCCATATGAACACAACACTGTATTTGGAGAATTTACTGGTACCATAATATGTTCCCATTAAAATACATCATTACTCTAGCAGTCCACTTTAAAAACCTTGACATGCTCTCATACTAAAGCAAAGTATTCAAATGTTTCAAAAGATGAATTTGCTTCCATTTCTCTTCACTCTAAAATGACATTGCCATTCCCCTTTCATGTATTCTGTTAGTTTAAGCTTTTCATTGTAATATTGACTTGGAGCCAAAGATATAGCGGGTGTAAAATGGGGGAAGTTGTGAAAGAATACATCTTGTCCTGAATCACCATCACTTCCTCTAAACAAACAGCAGAGTGGGTACACAGGAAGTAGATTTGACTGATTAAAACATGCTGGGAGAGACTGAAAAATATATTTTTTAAAAAGTGTGTATCACGGCAAAGTACAGGATCAGGGTAATTTTCAGACAAACACAATATAGACTCTATAAAAGTCCAAAGTAAATAAATGTTACCTGTAGCCAGGGGTGACTGAGTGATTTGTCCACACTGTAACGCTTCCTCATCTTCACTTGTAACAGGTTATTAATCAGGTCAATAGCTGCAAAAGGAGCAAAGAACACATTTTACTCTCAATGCACATAGACTTCAAACTCAAATTGTGGGAGATCAGAATTCAGGCCCAAGTGTTTGTTTATGTTTTCTAATAGTGAAATCCAATACAACAACTATTGGCTTTTCATTTTAAATTACTTATGGATGTAAATGTCATTTAAGGAGAATTATAGATATAAGATGTCTTTTAGAAGAGCATTCACCTTCAAAAACAGTCATTATGCTTTACAGGCAAATCCTGTGAAGCTCTACAAGACATTTCAACCATGTGATACGACACTATATTAAATGCAAGGATTATAGGTTATGAACCAACAGGTTGAATCCAGAAAAAGGGAACCAGAAAGTGGATTACAAAGCAATGCGGAAACTGTTTCAGCTTAGCTTTTACGAATTTCATGGTTCAAAATCTCTAAGAAATTAAGATTCATATTATTCTGACTTGCTCCCTTCCTTGGAATAAGTCCTTTCTGTTAATCTACCAACTCTCAACTAATATGATACATTGCAGAACCATCGAGGCACGACAGTTTGGAACAGTTTACATGTCCAAAACCATTCTCGTGCTTGCAATAATGAATTCAAAATTCAACAGTACTGGTGGTCAGTATTGGTCAGTAGAAACCAACGAACACCTACCTTCACCAGAGGTTTCTTTCCATGGATTTGGTGGGTACATGAAAGCTGCATTTTGAATTTGGTCATTGATATCCTCATCTTCATTGAATGGAAAAGTCCCGCTGAGGCTCACATAGACAATGACGCCCACTGACCACATATCAAGGGACCGATTGTATCCTTTGCTCCGGAGGACTTCTGGTGCCAGGTAGGCTGGAGTCCCTACCACAGATCGCCTGAATGATTTCTCACCAATGATACGAGCAAAACCAAAGTCACACAGCTTGACCTAAAGCAAAATAATCAGAAGTTTATCAAGAGGAAGTTGATATTGAACATTCATCTAAGAAATGCTTCTATGGTGAATTATATTAATCCATGAGGCATGATAAGTGGCTGCTTTCTTGCAGTTATTAATTTTGCAACCAGGAAGTAATGCTGATAATATATCCCCCTTCCTCCTCAATTGTTTTCCCTTAGCACTGTGAAGCTGGACAGGTCTTTAGGTATTGCAGCCATAACATCAATGGGACTAGTTCATCTGAATCAGGAGACCCACATACATTTGCACAGTAAATTGGAGAAATGATGTTTAAGATTTGAAATTGTTGAATATATAATTCAACAGCACACTACTTGTAAAAGATTTAAAATGTTCGCCATTAGGAATCTTGAAAGGGGAAGTTAATAATCCTAAAACAAAAACTTGCATTTGATTTTGCCTTTCACATCAGGAAGATGTCTCAAAGCAATTCACAGGATTTATTTGAAAGTGCAGTGACTTTATATTTTGTAGGCAAGCTTGGCAGCCAATTTGTACACAGAAACATCCCACAAGACGTAAATGACAAATTTTATTTTGGGGTGGGGGCTTGTTGTCCAGGGGACCACGAGAAACTCCCTTCTTCTTTTCCACTCATGCCATGGGATCTTTAATGTCCCCTGAACAGGCAAACAAGACCTCGGTTAACGTCTCATCTGAAGAACGTCACCTCCCGCAATGCAGCGTTTTCCTGCATTCTATTTGAATTCAGCTTAGACAATGTGAGTTTGAAGTCCCAGTGTGGGGCTTGAACTGCCAATCAACTCCACGCACAGCTCTCCTCCCACTCCCTCTTTGAACCCCTCCATTCCGGTTTCCGCCCTGCCCACAGTACAGAGACTGCGCTTGTGAAAGTCACAAAGGACATCCTCTCTATCTGTGATCAGGGTTCCCTCTGCCTCCTTGTCCTCCTGGACCTCTCCGCGGTGTTCGACACAGTCGATTACTCCATCCTGTTCCACCGTCTTTCCTCCGTCATCCACTTCAGTGGGACCGCACTCGCCTGGTTCGAGTCCTACCTCACAAACCGCCAGCAGTACATCTGCATAAACGGCTTCTCCTCCCACTCTCACCTGGTTACCTGCAGGGTACCCCAAGGATCCATCCTTGGCGCCCTCCTCTTTCTGATCTGCATGCTCCCTCTTGGGGATGTCAGCCGCAGACATGGGGTACACTTCCACATGTATGCGGGTGACACCCAACTCTATTTTTCCATTGCAACCCCCAGTCCCCTGATGTTCTGTCAGCCTGCCTGTCAGACATGAGGAGCTGGATGAGCGCGAATTTCCTTCAGCTGAATGTTGACAAGACGGAAGCCATACACTTTGGCTCTCGTCAACGTCTAAAATCACATGGTTCTCACATTCTCCAGCTATCCGACCTCCCCCTAAAACTCTCCGAACCCGTACGCAACCTGGGTGTCAGGTTCGACCCCCAGTTATCCTTCCTCCCCCACATCCAGTCTGTCACCAGCACCGTTTTCTTCCACCTCCGACGCATCGCTCTCTCTTCCTATTTTCAGGTCTCGGCTAAAGACCTTTCTTTTCGAGCGCGCCTTTGGCCACCTTCCTCCCGCTCCCTCCCCCTGGCTCGGCGCCGGGATCCGTTACTGTGAAGCGCTGTGAGATGCCGCCCGGCGTGCTACCAATTGAGCCACGCTTTACAAAAACAGAGTCTTCAAGTCTTCAATGGCTCACCTGTGGGAAACGATCCGCCGAGGCGAGGAGTACATTCTCAGGCTTCAGGTCACAGTGTACAATGTTCTTAAAATGCAAGTGTCTTAAAGCCACCAGAATCTTAAAAAAAGTAAGAATCAAAGAATTACAGCACATAAACAAGCATACAGCCCACCTACCCTGTTTTTTACCCTACAAGACCCACTTAATGTAAGCAATGCCATTTATCCTTTTGTTCCTCATGATTTAATATTACTCGTTTTCAATCATCTATCTGATTCCCATTTAAAATAATAATTGACACACTTGGGCTCATCAATGATTTGTTGCAGATAATTCCACATTGCAACCACCCTCTGTCTAACTTTCACTTGAATTATTTTTGTGATAATCTTAAAATTTATCCTCCTTGCTACTGATACAACACTATAATTTACAATTGATAGCACTTTACACGTGAGGGGGACGTCTCAAAATCCTGTACACTGCTGGCTGACCACTCGAGCCAATGGGTGGGAGCTGAAGAGAATGGAGTGGGGAACGATGGCTGAAAGTGTGTTCAAAGAAGCGAGTCAGTGAAAATAATCTATCATTATTTACCAAACCATAACCCTTCATAAACTTGTTAGCTTCAATCAGATCACCTCTCAGGAAACAGCAAAGAGGAAACCATGGGTGGGGCTTAGAAAAAGCCAAAGTATCCCAAAACAAGTGCTCCGTACACAAGTTGATGCATAGATTGTAAATGTAGGATGATATTTTAGCACTCAAAGGGTTAAGTTCTAATTTACAAACAGAGTTTGATGTGACCGAATATAAACAAACCGAGTTAGTGCTTTGAAACACTATTTTACATGGAAAGGCCACAACATAAGTGGAAATCGCTATGGTTAGAGATACCCATTTACTGATCAATGGGAGAATGCTTTTCAAGAGACAAATTCTCATCCTGAAGCCTGTCGGCGGGAAGAGAAACAATTACCTGTGTGACTAAAAACTTGGTGATGCGTTCAGGCAGACGACTCTTCTCACTGGACAAGATCATCTCCAGCATGTCTCCGTGCAGCTTCTCCATCACCACAAAGACTCGTTCAGGAGTCTCAAACATACACTCCAGGTTCACAATACCAGGGTGGTGAAGATTCTGAGAATTAAAGAGTTTTTGGGGTATACATTAAATTTAGAAACAAAATTTCTGTGTAAAATTACGATTTCAGTGAATCAAAATGCAGAGACATATTAAAGCAAGCAACCGATAGCAAAAAAAAGGAACACATTTAAAATTTGTTTGGGGTTGTAATGACAGCAACTTAAACAATTAAAGCAAAATAATTACGAAGAGGGACATAGCAACAATTCTCCCTGTGGTACCCACACTCTAATTCAGATGGTGGGCAGGAAATGTGTCCTCAGGCCTCTCACAGGCCTCTTTAAACCAATCACTAGCAGACTCCATGACACTTGATCTTAGACTTTGCCTCCTTCTGGCAACATTGGTTCAATATTTCATTACAATGTCAATTGCTAAAATTTCTCCTTTATAGAATGGTCTTCCATATGACCTGATGTGATCTTTGTGTTATGGGTTTATAATGCTGGTCTCTATAAGCACTGGAAATTCTTTCAAATACACTTGTGCAAGCGGTATCTCTGCAGATCAGGCCTGTTCTCAATGAGTGCTGACAATATGGAGTCCTATTAGTACAATAACAGGGCTTGGGACTAGTAGCATACTGTAAAAAACAAAAACAGCCCGTTTCCTCACAATCTCTCTCCGCGTTCACGTAAACCTGTGCAAATGTCTATTTAAACCTGTAATAAACAATCCAGCAGCCAGCTAGAACAACAAAGAGATGTTAAAGAAAAAGTTGGTTTCACTGAACCAGTGAGAGCTGGGGTACCAGCTGTATGAACCATTTAGCCACAGTGGGTAGGACGTGGCTTTGTGGCCATGATTCCCCAGTAACAACCAGGCTGCCACCAAGTGAAGATGTGTTATCCTACAGGAAGGGAGGGCGAGGAGAGAGAAAGCAATCGTAGGATAGTCAACTAGCACCATTCTCACACCTATGCCTGGGAACATTTAAGATACTTACCAAAAAAAACAAAGGCAGAGGTTAGAAGCAATTTGTAAAATAAATGAATCTAGAGGCATTTTTTTTAAAAGAGAATTGTTGTAGAAACACATTTGAAAAAGAGCAATGTAAAAGAAAACATGCAAATTGTAAGAGAGTGGGTCTAAATGGATAGTGCTTTCAGAGAACTGGCACGGCTGTAAAACTCTACAACTCTACAACAATCCCCTCCTCGGCCCACCACGGCAGAGGCCTATTAATAGCTTACAGCCCATCTTCCTGGAAGGGAATTGCAGTGATACAGAAAAAACTAACACATGGGGCAAAAATATAATAGATCTGTAAGATCTTAATACAGACCAACATTTCTTAGTTTCAGGCACAATATGCTAATCGATATAAAACACGATACTTGCAACATAGACTCAACAGCTTAACAGTGCACTGGTAATACTGCTACTCATTGTAGTCATTACTACACTTGCTAAAACAACCACCTCTATTCAGCAACCACCTACTGTCAACAACTACCCTGGAAGAATCCCAACTGATTTTCAACAATAAACTACCTCTGTTCAGCAACCACCTGTCTAACGAAACCAGCGATCACTCTTTTTTTTTGCCCGATCAGTGTACAGATACCCTTTTTAGTGGCCAGTTCTAAGTGAATTTAAGTATATTACGGTATGCATTACCAATTTCCACAGGCCCGTGTGTAGACTGCTGCTAGACTCCAAGCACATTTACCAATGCCGCACTGAGCAGCCCATGTGATGCATACAGTTTCCAGCCTCATTAGTGTTCTTAAACGTGCAAGGAGTCTAGAGGGAGTCTACACGTGGGACCACAGAGATATTTGGCCCGTGGAATTTTGGTTTTAAGTTTTCGAGCTGGCAGGAAGAGATTTTCATCCCATCAGTCTACACATGATTCAAACTCAGGGCCCAGGGTTGCAAGAACAGAACCAATGATCCAGGAAAGAGTAGGATGGGCACGTAACCAAATCACAGTGTTAATCTTTACATGTCGAGGGTATGAGGATTGAACTCAGAAATAGACTTGGAGCACTACTGAAGATTGTATCAATCAAGTACCAATGAACATCATACAACGTGAGGCAAAGCATGTAGGACATAGATACCTAAGTGTAACAGATTCAAATTGAACAAAAATGTACTGAAATAAATCGGCTTGTAAAGAGAGATTAAGGGGAGAAAAATAAAGATTTATCTGCTTGCAAGGAGAAGAGTGGGGTGAGCAATGAGTACCAGATTGGACAGAAGCTGTCCAAAATAAGCGATTGGAGGAGCCAAGAGAGAGCTGGAAAGAGACATAACAGCCAACGCAAAACAGTACGCTAAAAAATGATTTCCATATAGCTGCAAGCAAATCATCAGGAAGTTAAAATCCTAAGGGACATAAAGAAAGCCGAAAAGGAGATTAACATGAAATCGTGAACATACTCTTGGGGAATAAATGATTGAGGACAATAAAAATATGCTCTCCAACATCCAACACATGTTGTGTGAGTTTGAGGACTTTTGGATGCTCTAGATATTTCTATCTAGATGGACTCAAGGGGATGAAACCATAAATCCCCGCAATAGTTCCTAAGTTGAACTACACCCCAGCGAGATTTGTGAAATGCTGGTCATTTAGGGGAAATTGCTGAACAAAATAGGCCAGAGTATTTATTCACTGTGCTAAATAACAATTTTCCAGGGTATTAAGTAGGAGATGATTCAGGAGTCATTGCTGAGATTTCTCCTACTCCTAGTACACATAAAAATGCTTTATTTGCAGTCTCTGATAAAGGGATTAACTAAACTCAGAAGCAGCCAATATCGTCCCTGGATGTTTGTGAGACATTGCTTTGCAAAAATTGGCTGCCACATTCACCCACAAAATGGACACAATTGCATCACTTTACAATATATCCCATGAAGAGAATGCAGACAAATTGATGATGCAATAAGGCGCTATATCAAATACAATGATTATTATTATTACGATCATACAAAGGAAGTTAGCCAGATTATCCACCTGGAGGATCACTCATGCAAATAAATTTCAGCCCAGATAAATCCAAAATGTAAGTATGAAATCAAATGGGCCCAAGGACCTTCCCCATCCAACCCTCATGTGGTATTGTATTGTCCAATCAAATTTAAATAAAATATAAATATGGAACTCAACAAATCCCTGGCATCTTCAGGACTTACCTTAAATTTCACAACAAACTCTGTAACAAAATGTTGAATTCACTCTCCCCTCTGAAGCAGCTCGGCAAAATATTGATTTTTTCCTACCTGGAGAATTGCAACCTCATTGCGAAGCTGGCTTTCTTGCTTTGTAGGGAATCTCATCTTATCAATCACTTTGATTGCCATATCCCTTCCAGTCTTCCTGTGTTTTCCTACATACACACAATATAGTTATAATCATTCCGCTTCTCTTCCTCCCCCACCCCGCACTCCTAAAGTAGAAAATGAAGCATTACCAAGGTACAAGGTAGCAGTATTTCTAGCAGCATTGAAAGAAACCAACTTCTAGACCACTTTCAGAACAGGGAAAGATCTCATTCAGTTTACAATTCATTTCAAAACACTATTTGTTTTCCCCAATTTTTTATCCATTTTCCAAAGAGCGTGAAATGTCTGTGCAAGCCAAACACCGATCTCTAGCCATAAAGATGGGTTCACTGGCTACTCCCCATACGACTTAAATAAGATGCACAGTGGGGAACAATATGGTCACGTACCATGATTTTCTCTTCTCCCTTTGGGGAGCTCCTGTCCCCTATGATACAGCTACCCTGTTTTAGTACACCCACTGTGCTAATACAGATCTATTTTGAAACTTCATTTGTATTCATCAAGAGGAAGGTTCAATATCTTATACATTGCGACTCAGTCTCCCAACAGCACTTGAATTTTCGTCCTGCTTATCAAGTTTAGTGACCTTTTGTGACAAGTGACAATGGTGTTTTTTATTTTGTTTGAGTAGCTATCCAGTGAATGGATTCTCAAACACCTTCGCTGTTACTAAATACTAGATGCAGTCATAGCATCTAAAGCATTTAGCACCATCTCATCATCACCCAATGTAAAAGTGTTATTGAAAGATCGATGATCAAAGTTTCCCTGGAAACTTAGTACACATTCTGGTACTACAAAGTGGGACAATTATACAATTTATTTTTAAATAAAAACTTAAAAAGCACTGATTAAATAAATAGTAGATTTTCTCATTATTGCCTTCATTTTTGTTTAATACTGTATATTAAAAAGTTCCATCGCACCACACTAGAGTTGGTATCCAGGCAGCCCACTCTTTAGCCTTCTATACCCAGATGTGCAGATTTCTCACTCCCTTCCTCTTTGGGGTCAATCGTCTATGCCCCATGTTGCATTTCCTTTACACTTTTCCTTCCCATCCCTCTTTTGAATTCTCAGCTCAATATCAGGTGTGAAAAACTAATGGCATAAACATATGCCTTACTGCCCTCCCCTGTCAAAAAGCTGGTAAATCATGAGAAATCCCAGAAACTAAAAACTCTCACTTTCAAAGCCCTCCAAGGCCTTGCTTCCCCCTACTCTGCAACCTCCTAACCCCCTACCATTCTGCTCGCTCCCTCCGTTCAGCGGGCTCCGGTCCACTTCACAACCCTCGCCTCGCCTGCCCCACCATTGGCGGGCGGGCCTTCGGCCACTCTGCCCCCACCCTCTAGAATTCCATCCCGCAGTCCCTCCGCCTCACCGCTCCCTTGCCTCCTTCAAGACATGTCTCAAGACCCACCGCTTCGACCGTGCCTTCGGTCACCCTGCTTCCCCCTCTGCCCTCCACCCGCCCCGATCCTGAACCCCAGCTCGGGTCCAAAACACTGACTGTCCAACACCTTGGGATGCAATGTTGTTGTTGTAAAGCAAACCTCAAATTCGATGCATTTTCATTTGTTATTTTTCTGTTGAAGCTTTTATCTAAATGAAACTGATCAGATATACCCTAACAGTCTCATCTCGTCTGAGATACAGAAGAGATCTGGGATTGCAGAGGCCTCTTTACTTTTCAAATTTCCTGCAAATTCCTCTGTACCTGAGAATAGTGTTTTTTTTGCTAAGATTTCATTCTACCCTTGCAACATGAAATGCTCTTACCTAAAAGAGATAAAAATGCTGTGAAAAAAGAAAGCAGAGTTATTTTACCGCTGCAGCCAGGAAAATGATGTCACTTACCTCCATATACTATTCCAAACTGCCCTGAACCTAGCACCTCATCAGCAAAGATCTGGTAGACAGAGCTGATATCCTGTAACAAAAATAGGGCAAAACTGAAACCAAATGCACCGGCTGAATAATTTATGTGATCATCTGAAGATCTGTAGGTTTCTCTGCTGTCCTTGTACAGCCCACACAACCACATGTTCCTGCTGACACATCTATTGCAGGTTCCCAGGAACGACAGTCAATCGTACCAGTATAATGATTCAAGTAGCGCTAATCCTCCAAAGATTAGAAGCAAGAGTTAACTACCATCCTGTTTTACACAAAACTCAGGTGTCATTTCCCAAAAGGCTCTATCACATTAGCCCTTTACAAAAATCAGCACAATGGAAACATGTAGAAGAGATTTACTGAGGAAGAACTAGTATGTTAAAAGAGGGTGACCCAGTTCTTAAGTGCCTTGCTTGCCCGCAAGTCTACTCAGAAAGTCTCCAGTGACCCACGGTTGCCAAAAGTGCGGTACACATCTGGCCCAGAATGCCTGGTTTCCTGTCAACAGCAACCTAACAAATCATAAGTGGGACTTAGTCTATTTGTTCTGCACAGACCCATAATAACATAGTGTCTAATATTTTAGGTCCAAAATACCAAATTAATAATAATAATCCTTGCATTTGGTTTAGCATCTTTTACGTCAGGAGCACATCCCAAAGCACTTCACAGAATTTACTGTGAAGTGGAGTGACTGGATATCCCTTCATCTACAAATCCCTCTCTCTCTCTCCAACCTGCTTACTCCTAACTCCGCCACCCACAGCCTCCATCCTTCTGATTGTCCCTAGTGCCCTCCACTCCATCATCAGTGGAGGTACTTTCAGCTACTAAACCCCAAAACTTTGGAACCCTCTCCCTCAATCCCTCTGCCTTGCCCCTCCTTCCCCATTTTCAGATCATGCCTGAAGACCTTCCCCTTTGACCATGCTTACGGTCACCTCTTCCGCACCTCCCAATCCCAGCTCGAGGGCAAGCTCCGCCACTTTAAAGTGCTCTGAGACTCTATCCTACGTGATGGGTCACGATAGAAAATGCAAGTTGTTATTGTGTATTTGTGGGCAAATGTGGCAGCCAATTTGTGCAGAGCAATGTCCCACAAACAGCCATACAGTGATTGACCAATTTTACTTGTGGGATTGTTGGCCAGGACACTGGGAGAAACTCACTTCTCTTTTCGAATAATGCCATGGGATCTTGTCCACCTGAACACGCCAACAGGTCTTCGGTTTAATGTCTCATCTGAAGGACAGCAGCTCTAACAATGCAATACCCCCCTGGCACAACATTGACTGTGTGATTCCAAGTCCTGACGTGGAGCTTCAACCCACAATCTTCTGACTCAGAGGCCAGAGTGCTACCACTGAGCCAGGCTGACACAATTATATGGGTTCACCCAGTTTTTCTTTATTGCATTGAAAGGTCTCAAAGCATTTCATAAGTCATGCCAATTGCAGTAACTTTTTATGTAGACAAATATGGCAGCCATTTGCACAGCAAAACACACAATCAGCCATGAGATGAAATACCAATTATTCTGGGGGTTTCCTGGCTATGACATAGAGCGAAACTTTGTTCACTTTTTGTACAGTGTCATGGGATCTTTAACATTAATCTGAATAGGTGAACGGGACCTCAGTTTATCATCTTAAATGAAAGGCAGCATGTTCAACAATGCAGCACTCCCCCTATACTTCACTGCAGTTGTCAATTTAGACTATGGGCTCTAAGCCTAGTTTGGGGTTTCAGTGGACAATTTTCTGACTTGGAGGCAAGAACAATACCAGCCGAGCCAGGCTGATACGACAAAGTGGGATACCATTGAGTTGACTGAGTGCACAGTCAGTCCAGTACAGAAAAAGCAAAGAAGACGACTGTGACATTACTCATCAGCATTGGTTAAACTGTGAGACCTCCATCAAACCGCTATCTCAATTTCTCACACACACACCCCATCCACACATACACACACTCTCACACACCCCCACACACACAAACACTTGCAAATGCGCAAATAATATTAATAATCATCCTTGCATTTGATATAGCATCTTATCATATCGTTGAGACGTCTCAAAGCAGGATATACGATAAAGTAGATTGACTGTGTTTTTTTTGTGGACAAACGTAGAAGCCAATTTGGGGGATTTGTTGGCCAGACACTGGAAGAAACTCCCTTCTCTTTTTCATCTTTAACGTCCAACTGAACAGGCAGATGGGACCTCAGTTTAATGTTTCATCCGAAGGACTGTACCTCTGAAATTGCAATACCCCTCCAGCACCTCATTGGTGTGTCAGCTTAGACTAGATGATTCCAAGCCCTGATGTGAGGTTTCAATCCATCTTCTGACTCAGAGGCAAGAGTGATACACCACTGTACCAAATACGACAGAATTAAAACAATTTCTGCAAAATGCATACTGTATCAGTATTTATAAAATGGTCAAACTTACCACGTTCTCCTGCACCTGGCAGTTAGATACAGAAATGCTGACAGACAGGTCATCTGTGGAAAGAATCAGATAAAAAGGCCCATGAACAAGGCTACGTTTAAGATACAAAATTAGCAATATTACTTTAGAGCTGGCAGTATTAGTTCCTCTGTATCAGTGTTACAAATTGTAATGTACACAAAAAAGGCTATTAACTAAACTTATTTGGCTTGCCTGGTTCCTAGGGTCTCTCCCTCGAACCATGAACCAATTTCCAGAGCAGGTAACAGTTTACTGACAAATTTCTAACCATGCCACTAGAAGGCAGCACCATTGCCTTTATTGAGGGAAAGAGGTCACACTGCATGCATTTGGAGATTTGACATCTTTGCATACATTTACATTCAAACCTGAAGGGGTGGAGGTTAGGTTGGCAATCAGTGCACCAGTTGTACAATAACAGGTCAAGCTTTTTCTTCTGCTGTGCTCGGAGCTGTTGCTGCTCAGCTCCTCCTAATTGGTTCTTTCTCAGGAACAAAAGTGGGTGGGGGGGGGGGGGGGGTCAGGTAAGGGAGATAAGGGAGAAAAAGAATTGCACATCCACACTAATGATAGAGAATATAACTCTCGGGGAGGAAGAAACTAAGAAACTGGTTTTAGACAGCTCCTGAGAAGCCATTTGTTACAAAGAAAAGATGTGCTTTAAGATTCAGTTTTTGTTTAAAAGTACAATTGCATATAAACCCTGTTCTTCAATTTGGTTGGTCACCAAAATCAATTTTATGAAATCTACTTGTGTATTATTTTAAAATAATTCAACAATGTTGTAATGTTTACATATCTAAGCCAGCAGCAGATACTGTATTATCTTCTGACATGGTTTGCTAACAACCTCTCCAAAGCAATGTCAAGCTGTCATCATGAATTGATGCTTGAAGATCATTTGGGGGCATTACATTTGTAATATGAGTTTTGAGTTCCTCCTTTAACCTTTTGAGGGCCAAAGTAGATCCTTCACCAACATCGACATATGAACTGTGTCTCGAATCACATGAAATTCACAAGTCTACAGTTAACTGTGCAAAACAAGTCGGAAATGCTAAATACATCAGTATACAAAATGAGAATTTTATGAAGGTTTTAAGAATTTTATAAAGCTGCTATTCAGAGGAATGCAATGGCAAAATTCTAAAGATTGTTAACATTAAGCATACCTTTTTGCCATGATTAGGCAGCAGACTCTGGATGGAATTCTATGTCAGCAAATATTGTAACTCGGAAATAAGAGGGACACTTCCAAATGTCTGTAATTCTCTTTGACCGAGCCTTCAGCTCCCCTCTCGACTCTCTTCCCCCTCCTCGCTCCCTCCCTTCCCTCCCCTCACCCTGACCATTTCCCCCCTGCTCGGGTCCTGACCCAACTGTGCAGCGCCTTGGGACGTCCTCCTGACGTGAAAGGCGCTTTATAAATGGAATCTTGTTGTTGTTGTTGTTGTTGTTGTTGTTGTTGTTGTAACAGGGGATGTTATTGTGATGTATGCTCTGCACTCTATGTTGAGTATTACTGTACCTCATGCTGCCAACTAGGAATGCCTGGTACCTGCTGTAACCTGGTGAGGGCTCAAACGTGCATTTGTCAGATATCTTAGTGAATTAGTGACTATCTTCCTTGGAAGGGGAGAGAGCGAAGATAAAATACTATAAGATAATTCACTTTTTGGGGGTAAATTGGTTTCAAACCAGAAGATTGGAGTCAAGTTGATACTCTGTAATGATCAAGGTACTTCAATACCTGAGCCAAGAGAGTAATAATAATAATAAACCTTGCATTCCATATAGCGCTTTTCATGTCTTCCAGATGTCTCAAAGCGTTTCACAGAATAGACTGTAAAGTGAATTGACTGTATATTTTGTGGACGAAATGCGGCAGTCCAATTGCACACAAACAATCGTGGACTGAGTGACCAATTTATTATTGTGGGTTTTTTTCTTGAGGGATTATTATTATCAGGCGTGTGCAGTAAGGAAACTTGCCCAACATTTCGCCCTGCCAGGAATCAAACCCAGGCGTCTCGCTTGCGATGTGAGTGCTCTAACCACTGAGCTACAGGACTCCATATCTATGTGTGTGAGAGAGTATGTGTGTGTGTGGTGGGCCGTGTATGTGTGGGTGGGGGGGGGGGGGGAGTACGTGTGAGGGAATGTGTGAGTATGTATGAGTGTGTGGTGGGTGGGAGGGAAATGTGTGTGTGGGTGGATACAGTCAGTGAGATTAAATGTTACAAGTGGGCATTGCTGTGCAGACCAGAATGCAGCTGATTGCTGAGATGAGAATTTAAATAGAAACAAATTGTTAATCCAAACTGTATTCACTGATAATCAGTTTGGATCTGTGGGGGTGGACAACACAAGTTAAGAAACATTCTTTGCTTAGAAGTATTCCAGTGCTGTTGGAGGTAAGCAAGGCACAGAGCAGAAACAAGGCTCTTTGTCACACAAGTTATTCCAGGATGTTAACCTACACTGACTGCCTCACGATCAGTTACAGAGCTACACTGGCAGAAACTCTAAATTGGCTTGTAAGTGGCCAATATAGAGTTAAAGATTCAGCCTCCCTGGTGAATCCAGACAGTCAGAGCTGTCTCTTGCTGACAGTCTCAACTATCGAGATGATTTCTGGCAGATTCAGACTGAGTTTAACCTGAAGCCAATATGAGTCAGCAGTATGAAGTGGTACCCTGGCCAGTAATAACAACGCAGATAAGATTAAATTGAATGTGCGGAGTTCTGCAATGGGACTGGACACTGAGAGTGATCAACTCTCAGGATTAGCCAGATCCTTTGAGAGATGTCAAGTTGAGGGGACCACTTTTCCTAAAGGAGTGAAGCACTGGTTCTACACCCACAAAACCCTGAGCGATTAGATCAAGAAGAAATAAACAACTCAAATGGTATAGAACACTATCACATCAAAATGTTTCAAAGTGCTTTACAGTAATTATTGTAAAGGCTCCCAACGTGAAAGGCACTATACAAATGTAATTTTGTATTGTAATATCATCAAGTGCAATGACTGATTTTGTGGCAAACAAGGAAGTTAGTTTCCGCACTGTCAGGTCCCATGGTGGGTAAATACGGAAACAGCTCCTCCCACTCTTTATGGAATTAAAAATGGTTACCATGTGGGTCATGCCCTTCTTGCTGTTGGTAAGTACAAAACATGGAGAAACTTACTAACTGGTCTGACACAAAATAGTTGCAAATGGTCTAACTGTTCAGCTATGACGTAACTTATTTTGATGCCACTGAATCCAAATTGTCCAACTGGGGGAAATATTCCGAAGTTTTGTCCAATTTTTGTTTTAAAAAATTGCAAGTGACGCTTTCCTCTAAACCCAAACAGCAAATCTTTGACACATCCAAATCCTGTGTACTATGTTCTGAGAACCTACTATGAAATGCTGTCTGCTAACGCACAGTGGCTCTCAACGTTTAAAATAATTAAAACCAGAATATCACCAACTTCTAAACTTTTGACTGGCTTCTTGAATCTTTTAGCTAACGAGTCTGGTTGTACATCACTATTCATAGCCTCCCAAAATTCCCTTTGGTCCTGCCCCCATGTCTATCCAATCTACAGCTTATTTGATTTTGCTTCTGTCTAATTTGTAGCCTTTAGACCATTAATGCACTTAATGACAAATCTTTTTTTAAAAACAAAACTATGAAACCTCTATTTAAGATAGATTTAGTATTTGGAAGTACATATATTTGCATTTAGTGAAACCATTTATCTTCCCCCCATTGAGAGACATTCAAGGAAATCATAATTTCTTTGATGGAACTCTCTTTTAATACAAGTCCTTTGTTGGCTGCATCCTCCATTATTGAGGAATACACTGTCCACTTCCAAATAATATACAGAGTGTGGTCTAAAATGTGATGTTCCCGAACCAGTATAATGGCTTTAATTAATATTGGCTTGCAATTCAGGATTTGAAATTTCAGTGTCACTTCAGGGGACACTAGCTTAACTCACATTGAGTTAAATGGGTATCTTGAGACACGCAACTGTAATGCCTTGCTATTACAACAACAATGGAAGCACTGAAATGTTCAGATCAGCTTCACATCCAACCGCAGTGCCTAGGTCAGGGAAAACGAAGGGAAAGAGTAGAAACCTGGTTGTTAGTCGATTGGCGGATTGCTTTTCAGGGTAATAATTCTTTAAAAAAAAAGATAATAATTTGGTCACTCAATCCATGATTGTTTGTGGGTTACTGCTGTGCGCAATTGGCTGCCGCGTTTTGCCCACAAAATATACAGCCAATTCACTTTACAGTATATTCTGTGAAGCACTTTGAGACGTCTCGAAGACGTGATAAGGCACTATATCAAATGCAAGGTTTATTATTATTTAACAAATTGAAATGTACCAATTCATGTCTGAGCTAAACTCTGGCTTGCAGAAAGTCAGTGTCCAGCTAATGATACTGAATTTTTAAGAAGCTTAAATTATTCTCCCCAAAAAGGACTTTGCCAGATTACAAAAGTCCAAAAACATTCATTAATAATAATATTAGTTGCATTTGATCATACTGTATACTACATAGAACGGAAAGAGTAGGAAAAGCCCACAGGCTCAGCAAGCCATTGATCATTTATAAAGCTAACTAATACAGAATGGAGTCCCTAAACCATACAGTATATCTGTGAAGTGCTTTGAGACATCTTCCCAACATGAAAGGTGTTATATCAAATGCAAGGATCTTTATAGGTTTGAAAGTTTAGAGGTTAATGCAACTATTATCTGGATGACACAATGCTCAGGTATATTATTGATCCCATTATGTCTACAACTAGCATCGTAAAACTTCCTTTACAAAACTGATCAAAGAATGTCATTCTATTAAACTTGACATCATCATTCTATTAAAATAGCAGCATCATTGGACAGAACATGGTTTTTGCATCCCACAATTTAGAAGGTATACTTACCGTTTAACAGTACAGTTCTGATCTAAATTTGAAGTTAAAGCAAGGATAGTATTTTGAAAGACTTGGAAATAACAGCAACATTCAGATCTAGTCTGATAACAAACCTGGCCGACCTGCAGTCCTGTTTAACAAACGTTCCAATTTGTACTGAAACATCAATTCACTGTAATTTTAGACCAATTGGCTTATAATGTATATCCCTCGACATCTGCTGTCAGTGCAGAGTAACAATATCAGTCAAATGTGACAATGGACCATATGGAGATCAACCATCAATTTATCTATTCACTTAAGTTGATAGAATCAGCGAAGTTATCAGTGTTATGAAAGCCTGCATTTGGTCTGAAGTGTCCTTGCAGGAGTTAACAGCACACAAATTACTTACTGTGTTCTTTTCCTTGTCCTGCAACGGTACAGACACTGGCTTGTGGAGTGACAGGCATTAGAGCCTGGCGGATGGCCTTCTCCCAGCTCCGAGCAACATCTATTCCTACTCCCGAGGCAGCCAGGGCAGGATTCTGGTAGTTGCCTCCAAGATTCTCTCCAACATAATAGACCATGGTGTCAGTAATGATCTCAAAACAGTGTGGGTTGCTGCCTTGAGCCAGACTTGTGAAATCCCGAGATGGATCCAACTGCAGGATTTCTGACAGTGGGATTTCCTGAGTGAGACGAGAGAGCAAATACTTGTCTTAGAAAAGATTTTAGACATTTAAGAATGGACTTTCAAATCCTGCCTGATGCTCGCTAGCTATGCTCTACAAATGAAGGCCAGAGACGCATTCTGCCTTACACTTTACCTTTGAGCATCTGCATAGCATGTTTAGCCAATAAGGTTTGATCATTTTTTTGACTTCCTGAACACTCTCACAGTTTGCGAATTACAATGAAGCCTGGTGGTTAAACTCTGAGACAGATGCCGCCAAGATACAAGCACTTAGCTATAATTAGAGGCAATCTTTTTACCCTTTCACAAACAGCAACCAGGCAGATACTTTGTACATTAGCTCAGACAACAGACTTTAGCTGACTGTGAAGAGGCTGATATGAAACCTGCATCTCCCCATAAATAATTAACAGGGGAAATCCCTGCAAAGACAGAGGTAAACTTTGGTAAACTCCCATGTAAAACGTTTGTCACTCGTAAAAGCACGCATGAAATATATCAAAATAAAAGCAAAAGTAGAATGGTGAATGCAAATTTAAAGCAATGCAGCAGTTGTTGTATCACTTTCTCATACTACCACATATATTGCCAATACTTGTGTGTAAAAGTGCCATCAAAGAGTTTAAAAGGGGAATGTATGGAAATAATGATCTTAGAACACAAAATGGCCTTTGTGGAGAACGTAATGTCTAAGCATTTGCATGATACATACTGTATAATGCACTTTGTGATAGTGTATCACAGAATTTACTACCAAAGTGTGCAAGTCCCAGTTCAAAGGCAAGAGAAAAAGATCCTTAGAGCAGCAAAGGTGCTTGTGTTATTTGTCTGCTTCTTGATTTGCATTTGGATTTACAAATTTTCAGTTGTCATTTTCACTGCAAATGATGCAATGAACAGAATAAATCCAGTTTGCAAATATTAAAACTAGACCCTACTGGCATTGAACTAATCCCTACACTCTTTTAAAAAAATCAGTTTGTGATATTTCCACTGATTAAAGTGGACATTTGGCCCCGAATCACAATTCTAGAATATTTAAATACATAGTCTCCAAATAGGTGGCTTAGACGTGACTGTGAGGCGAAGCTTTAGATTTATCCACAATGAGTTTAATAACATCACAAAGTGCATTCGATAGTTTTCATGTGCTTCTGACACTTTTCACAGCAGAAATCTGGAGGATTGACTCGGGGGCTGAATGAGACAGTATAATATCAACACTGGTTTGGGGTTTGATGTGCAGATATGACTGTCTCAAAATTCACAAACACATACTCACACTGTTACTAATTTCTGGTCATCGGTCCTTTGACATTTATTTCTGCCGAGGTCAGGTAAATACCAATAAGATACCAGCACATTAAGCACTTACAGAACTGTGATCTTTATGCCGACGTTCGGGCAGGAAGAGAGAAATAAAGACGTAACTGTAGAGTGAGATACCAGTTTTTAAGATGCTAAGAGACAGCAAGTAAAATCTAATACAGAACCTGGGAGTTTAACAAATTGTAATGGGTAATAGGAGCTACTGTATAGTAGGATAAAGGTTTTAATGTGTGTTGATTAGTAATTGGACTTGTTAATTATATCATTTACATTTATACAGTACTTTTCACGAAGGGAGCACACCGCCCAGCACAAATAACTTAAAAGTGCATCATGCCAATCCGCGAGTATATTAGGATGCAAGAGTAGGACACAAATACTTCATGGATGGGATAGAACTTACAAAGGAGGAAGCTGAAAGAGATCTCGGGGTGAGATCTTGTTGCTCACTATGTCAAAACAGTGTGAGGCAGCAGTAAGCAAGGTAAACAGGATGCTGAGCTATACTACAGTTAGATCCTCAGACACCATACTCAAGCAGTATAGTGCTCAGGTCAGACTGAATTTCTGGTCATTCCTGACAAAGGGGCTGCCCTGACTCTAAAGGCAATGCAAAGGATAGCAATGAGAATCACTCCCAGTGTTACAGGAATGGGCTATGAGCATCGAATAGAAAGACTTGGGCTCGTCAGTCTTGAGAGATGACTCAGGGACCTAATAGAGGTGTATAAAATTTTAAATGGGATTACAAAGTAAACTCAGATTAATACTTTACGATACACCATGACAGTAGAACAAGAAGACATAAATTTATGAAGGGCAATTTCAGGACAGTCACCAGGAAGGTTTTCTTTACTCAGAGAGTAATTAACGACTGGAATAGATTGCCAGGAAAAGTGGTTGAAGTCAAGATACTGGACTTAATTAAAAAGTAGCTTGAGGGCAGTAGGTGGGTATTCCGGAGGTGTGAGATCAGATGGGCCGATGGGCTTTCTTCATCCTAACCAATCTTCTGACATATTAGACCCCTTTATATGGTCCTAATCTCAATTGTGCCATGGTAGGGAAACAATGAATCACAAGAAAGGAGGGAAGACTCAATGCAAGCTGCTACAGACAGCCTTGATAACAGGGAGGAAAACACCAACAGCGGATCCCTGACTGTCCAGTGCCTTGGGACATCCTTCTGACATGAAAGGCATTACAACAACAACAACAAAATTACATTTATAGAGTGCCTTTCAAGTCAGGAGGACATCCAAAAGCGCTGAACAGTCAGGTGTCGGGGCCCGAGCATGGGGGAGAGGTGGAGTAGGGGTGAGGGAAGGCAAAGAGGTGAGAGGGAGACCAAAGGCATGGTCGAAGAGAAGGGTCTTGAGACTGGCCTTGAAGGAGGCAAGGAGGAAGTGAGGTGAAGGGACCGTGGGATGGAGTTCCAGAGTGTGGGGGCAGAGAGGATGAAAGCGCGGGTTGGGACGGGAGACATGGAGCAGACCGGAGCCCGATGAACAGAGGGAGAGGCAGGTTGGCAGGGAGTCAGCAGGTCAGAGAGGTAAGAGGGGGCAAGGCCATGGATGTCTTCAAGGTGAGGACGAGGATCTTGAACTCGATCCTCTGGGGGATGGGGAGCCAGTGGAGTCAGGCGAGGGTGGGAGTGATGGGTTCACGGAGCCTGGTGCCTGAGAGTACATGAGCTGCAGAGTTTTGGATGATCTGCAGCTTGTGAAGGGAAGAGTTGGGAAGGCCGATGTGGAGGGAGTTTCCGTAATCGAGCACTATACAAATGTAATTTGTTGTTGTTGTAGCCTGGAGCCAGCGTGGGGGTGTGGGCAGACGGATGGTCCAATGGGAGTGAGTATTCACTGTAGTGATTAAAAGTTGTGGTGTGTGTTAAAAGTTGCAGTTTCCACAACAAAAGATTGCGATCCGCGATTTTCTTGTTCTACTCATGGCACTAGTCAATAAAAGAAGAAAGATTCTCACAGTATCCTGGCCAAGAATGCCCCAAATAAAATTGGTTCCTCACTCTATGGCCTTTTGTGGGACATTGGTGTATGCAAACTGGCTGCTGTGTTCACCCACAAAAAACAGTCACTGCACATCAGAGTATATCCTGTGAAGCGCTTCAAGACATCCTCCCGAAGTGAAAGGCACTATGTCAAATGTCAGGATTCTAGAAGTATATGTAATAATAAAAATAATCCTTGCATTTGGTCCAATGCTTTATTACGTCAAAAAGAAATCTCAAACTACTTTACTGGATTTACTGTGAAATGAAGCGACTGTGTATTTGTAGGCAAACGTGGTAGTACAATTGCATACACTAATAACCCACAAACAACCATAGAATAAATGACCAATTTTATTTAGGTGATTGATGGCCAGGACACCAGGAGAAACCGCCTTCTCATTTTAAACAGTCACGTGGGACCTTTAACATCCACCTGAACAGGCAGATGGGACCTTAATCTCATCCAAAGGACAGCACCTCCAACAATGCAACACCCCCCCCCCCCCCAGCACTGCATTTGAGTGTCAGTTAGACTATGTAGCTCAAGTCCCAATGTGGGATTTGAACCCACAACCTTCTGACTCAGAGGTGAGTGCTACCACTGAGTCAGGCTGACACAAAGGGTAAAGGCACGTATCAGCATGTCCTGCCATTTCAAGTAGAACAGGAAACAATAACCCAGTGGTTTGCAGTCAGCCAGTTAAGTGTTTTTTATTGGGTCTGAGTGAGATTTACTAGTTGGATGCCCATGGTTTCATGCTCACTACAATCTGGGTTGAGATTGGCAAAACTCCCTCACTTAAGAATTCAGTGAAAAACAGAGAGAGGAGACTTCAGACCTGGATCTGTCCCTGACATCATCCAAATCCAATATTGTGGGGTGATTGTTTGTGCTCAATTAGGTAAGGATGCCAGTGCTGGGAATGAAACTCATCTATTTTTGAAATCCAATTACAATAAATTTTGACAGGGTGTAGTAAAGGCCAGATACACAGTGTGGCTTCCTCTCTGCTGGCAGTAGGAGCCCTAACTCACAAAGTGTATTGTTCTTTGCACAAGTAAAATGAAATCAGAAACACTGTATTAATCAGTGAGAAATAAAAACAAGGCAAAAAACACTGCAGAGCTCTTTTTGAGCTGATGAAGATAGCACTTATCACTGCACCTGCTCTTTAAGAGACAATATCATTGTGACATTCAGAATCATTATTTTGTGTATTCTAATCTTAGATTTTCTAATCTTCTAATGCACAATTTATCTTCAAAACCGTGTGTGGAGGGTGGGAACAGAGATCAGGGGATCACATTGGTACTTTGGGTTATTTAAAAAAAATAGCAGGTGACTTACTTCTTAAAAGGGCAAGACAGTTCTGAGTTATAGACTCATGCAGACTGATAAGAAAATCAAAAGGTTACAGGAATGAAACTTAAAATGACTGGTCATTAGAGCAGAAGAAAAGTTTTTTCCCCACACTAAATCATTGTATAAATTTAAAATTTGCTGGCGCCTTCGTTCCTGTATGGTTCATGACATTGAATGCACTGTACTTTCATTTAATGTTCCCTTTTCAGCCTAACTTTGCAACTGTTAGTTTGGAATATAACATACCTACACTGTTGACACGTTAAAGAGCACACAATCTAAACCATCTAAT